GGAAAAGAAAGTTTCTGCAAAACGCCCACGAAGCCCCGGCAGGGGAAGTAAAAAGAACACGTGACACCAAAATACCCTCCCCTCACCATCTTGCCGACTGGTTCTGCCCCGCCCCCTGTTGGGACCGCCCCCTCCGCGCAGCAGCGGCCAATGAGAGCGGAGGCGAGGAACGCGGGCCGTTTCCTTGGGAGCGCTCTGGAGGAAGGAGGGGGAGGCGGTTACCTAGCAACCGGGATATGCTGAGGAGCCCTGCCAAGCTGTTGGAAAGCGCATTCCCAGAGCCGGAGGAACAGGAACTGGATCCTGGACAGGAGTGACTCCTAATTGCCCCCCCTAACCCTTAGGGGCTCTCGGCCCCAGCCTAATCATGACATCTCCTCTGTGCAGGGCGGCTTCCGCCAATGCTCTGACTGCTCAGGACCAAGTTTCGAAGCCCTCCTCCAAGGTCAAAGGCAGTCAGTCTCAGGCCAAGGCCCACCACCCAAGAGGCAAGGGTGCAGCTCAGGCCTGGTACCCAGTCCATTCCAAATCGGGACACCTCCACCCCAGCGGGGTGAAGCCCGCTGTGCACACACAGGTGGCTGAGTTACAAAGGAAGATACAACTGTTAGGTAAGATGGCTGTAGCGGGCAGAGAAGGGCCAGAGGTCAACAGTGTCCACCCAGTCCTCTCACCAGGCACGGTGAGACCAGTGCATTTGGACCAGATGGTCAGCTTCTAGAGGCAAACATTCATACACACTCGCGGTTTTCCTCTTTTAAAACTTCTGCTGGGCTCAGAACCGAAGGGACTGTATTTCACACCACTGTGTAATTTCAACTCTTCTATCACGCATGGAGAGGGCAGTGGGTGGTTCAGTGGTAGAATTCTCGCCTTCCATGCAGGAGACCCAGGCTTGCAGCCATCACCCATCTTGCAGTAAAGACTTGCATGTTGCTATAATGCTGAACAGGTTTCAGTGGAGCTCCCAGACTAAGACAGACTAGGAAGAAAGGCCTGGCAATGTATTTCCGAAAATCTGCCAGTGAAAGCTCTGTGGAGCGTAACAGATCCATACCGTTGTTCAAAGGGTAGCCATGAGTCAAGTGCCAACTCAAAGGCAGCTAGCAACATCATGCGTGGGGTAGTTAAGAGCATGGATTCCAGCGCAGATTTTCTGAGTTCAAATCTTAGCTCTGTATATACTAGTTGTTTGACCTTGGGGAACTAGGAGTAACCGAATTGCTCTCCGTTTCTCCATCTGTAAAATGGGGGTAGTAACGGTACAACCCCACGTTGTTGTTGCTAAGTGCTGTCAGTTTGGTTCTGACCGATAGCGACCTTATGTATAACAGAACAAAATGTTGCCCAGTCCTGCGCCATCCCCACAATCATTGCTGTGTTTGATAGCATAGTTGCAGCGACTGTGTCAATCCATCTCATTAAGAGTCTTCCCCCATAGGCTGTTGAAATGTGTAAAGTGTTTAGAATAGTGACTGGCACATAGTGAAAGACTATATAAGTATAAACCAGTGCTTCTCAGTGGAGGGGGCGATTTTGCCCCCCAGGGGACCACTGGCAATTTCTGGAGACATTTTTGGTTGTCACATTTGGTGGAGGTAAGTTTGGGATGGTGGTGCTCCTGGCATCTAGTGGGAAGAGGCCAGGGATGCATTATAACGCAGAGGAAAGCCCCCACCACCACTACCACAAAGAGTTATCCAACCCCAAATGTCATCATGCCAAGGTTGAGAAATCCTGGTGAAAACTATCATTGTTATTATTGTTTTTATTATTATTAGGAGGTAATCTTCCGTAGTGATTGAAGGTGTGGGCTCAGGAGTGAGATTGCCTGTAACCCTGAACACTTTGATCAGCCTCTCTGAGCCTCAGTCTTCTCATCTATAAAATTGGTATGATAATAACACTTGTTGGCATATGATAATTCGATACCTATAAAACTCTTAGTCTGGCATCCAACACATAATAAATGTTCAAAGTGAAGTATTGTTGTAACATTAAGTGGATGACTACAAAAACATCTTCCCTCTGGGAAGCTTCCCCTCCCCACTGCAATGATGCTCTGCTTGTGCCTGCTCACCTCACCTGCCCCTAGAGGGCGACAGGAAGGCCTTTTATGAGAGCTCCCAGTGGACCATCAAGAAGAACCAGGAGACCATCAACCAGCTCGGTGAGGAGACCAAGGTGCTGCAACTACGGCTGGCGAACCTGCTTCAGGTGCAAGTGCAGAGACAGGTGGAGGGGGGCACTTCCTCAGCAGAGGCGGCCTGAATGAGGGGTGACCAGTCTCCTCTCCCTACAGGGAGATGAGAAAGTGGTCCAGGAAGTGATTCGGGAATGGAAGTCAGAGAAATCGTACCTGAAGAACAGAACAGGCCAGGTTTGCTCTCCTCCACTGACCATCCCCCACATCTCCAGCTGGGTCCCCACCCAACCTCCCCACTGCATTTCCTGTCTCCAGTCTCACTCTCTCCAATTCTTTCTCCACACCAGCCACCATTCATTTATTCACTCAATGAAATCATTATTGCATGCCTACCGTGTGCCTAGGATGGGATCAGGTGTTGGGGATCCCCAGTGAACAAAACAGACCAAGTCCCCACTCCCAAAGAGGTCACATCCTAGTGGGGGATACATACAAAAAAACTCCAAAATAACATGTATTAAAAACAAGGTAATTCCCATTAATGAGAAGAGAAATAAAAGAAGGTGATGTGATAGAGGGACTGGACGGGCAGGGGTTTGCACTTTAGATTGGATGGAGGTCAGCAAAGACTTCTGTCTCTAAAGGAGGTTGAACTGAGAATGGGCCAGCCAGGAAAAGATCCGGGGAAGAGCACTCTAGGCAGAGGGAACAGCAAGTGCAATGCAAAATTCCTGAGGCAGGAACAAGCTTAGAGTGTTGGAGATACAAAAGGAGGCCAGTGTGGCTGGAGCCAAGTGGGTGAGGGGGTATGGTAGGTGAGGTCAGAGACGTATTGGGCCTGGCAATGATGAGGAGTTGGGATTTTATACTAAGAAGCAGTGAAGTGGAAAATGGACTGTGAGGAGGCAAGAGTGGAGGCCGGGAGGAGGTCATCCAGGTGAAAGATGGTGTTGGCAACAGTAGGATAAAAGTGATGAAAATGGAAGGAAAGAGATATCTACGGGGGGAATATTTGAGGTAGAACACAGAGAATTTGCTGACAAATTGCATGTAGGTGGCATAGAGAGAAGTCAAGGATGACTTCAAGGTTTTAGGTTTAAATACCTGGAATGATGGAGCCACCATGAGCTGAAATGGGGAAGATGTGAGAAGAACAGGATTGGCGATGACCAGGAGGTCAATTTGGGGCATGATGATTTTGAGGTGCTTGTGAAGGTGTCTGGAATCCCTGGGTGGTACAAACTGTTAACACGCTCGGCTGCTAACTGAAAGGTTAGACTTTCTAGCCCACCCAGAGGTACCTTGTAAGAAAAGCTTGCCAATCCACTTCTGAAAATCAGCCACTGAAAATCCTAGGCAGCACAATTCATTATGACACACATGGGGTTGGCATAACTCGAGGCTGATTTGATGGCAACTGGTAACTGGTGGAAATGTAGACAGAGTATGTATGCATATATGGGCTTGTAGTTCAGTTTGGAGGCTAAATTTGAATCATCTCAGTGTATCAAACCCAAATCTATTGCCATCAAGTTGATTGCAACTCATAGCGACCCTATAGGACAGAGTAGAACTGTCCCATAGGGTTTCCAAAGCTGTAATCTTTATGGAAGCAGACTGCCACATCTTTCTCCCACGGAGCAACTGGTGGGTTGGAACCATCAATCTTTCAGTTAGCAGCTGAGCACTTAACCACTGTGCCACCAGTGCTCCTTCATCTCAGTGTATAGGAGGCCTGTAAAACCCTGAAACTGTTGAGGTCACCAAGGGCATGAGTGTGGACAGAGAAGAGCCCCAAGGACTGAGGCCGGGGCCCTGTCTCCAAAGGCAAAGGAGACTGAAAAGGGGCAGCCAGGGAGGTGGGTGGAAAACCCAGGAGGGGGATCCTGGAAGCCAGGAGAGATGAGAACCTGCAGGAGGAAGCCGAGCAGATGCTGAGAAGAAGCCAAGGCAGTTGAGGGCCAAGATATGGGAGAAGGAAGGGAGGAAGGACTAGGTGGGGCTCAGGCCCCTGCTCTCGCTACCCTCCCTGCAGCAGGCCCTGGAGCTCCTGGACCATCGGCTGAGTGAGAAGGTGAAGCAGCTGAACTCCCTGCGACACGAGGTGGAGTTGCGGCAGAAGCGGCTGGATGAGCTCCAGCTGCAACACAGCCTGCGTGAGCTCGAGATGGTCGAGGCGCAAGATAGCAACACGGAGGTGGCCAAGGTGGGGCCAGCGAGGCCTGCAGGGCGGGGTCTTGGGAGAAGAACGAGGAGGGGGACTCAGCCCAGCCTTGCTGCCATCTAGACCATGCGGAACCTGGAGAACCGCCTGGAGAAGGCCCGGATGAAGGCGGAGGAAGCGGAACACATCACCAATGTGTACCTGCAGCTCAAGGCCTATCTGCAGGTGGGGACCAGGACTAGGGGACAGTAGAAGCGAGGAGAGCAGGCCTGGAAAAGGACAGCCCAGTCACAGGCCAGCCCCATCTCCCACCCCCAGGAGGAGAGCCTTAACTTGGAGAACCGTCTGGATGCTATGGAGGCTGAGGTGGTGCGGACGAAACACGAGCTGGAGGAGCTGCATCTGGTGAACCAGGAGGCGCTCAACGCCCGAAATATCGCCAAGGTGCCCGCCCGCCTACCCCCCGGAGTCCTATCCAAATACCTTAGGCTCCCGGCCGCAGAATCCGATCCTAAACTGCCCCCGGGCCCCTGCCATCTATCTCCCAGGATCCCGTGGCCTGGCCCAGCTGGCTAGGGACTGGGCCCGCGGCTCAGGAGCGGAGCTGCTGACGGTGCCAGCCGGTCCCCCGGCTTCCTTGTCCGCCTCGCAGAACCAGCTGCAGTATCTGGAGGAGACGGTGTACCGAGAGCGCAAGGAACGGGAGCGCTACCTAACCGAGTGCAAGAAGCGAGCAGAGGAGAGAAAACTGCAGAACGAGCGCATGGAACGCAAGGTGAGCTCGCGCAAGGGTGCGACCAGGGCCCGGCCCTCCTCGGCGGCCCCAGCCACACCGCCCACTCTGCCCTGCCCTGCCCTGCTTCGGCCACGCCCCTAGTTTGGTCCAGACCGGAGACCTTTCCTGGCTTTGGATACTTCTGCTGACCCCGCACCCGCCCTGACTCCACCCCCACCTCCGGACGGCCCTAGATGCTAGGCTTCCTCCCACATTCTCCACAGGCTCCTCACTGCCTCATTTTGCATCCAGCCCTCCTCTTCCTCGTAGGCCCCATCCGGAGCCTCCTCCACTTGACTCCGCCTCCTGCCCTAAATCTGACTCTCTCTAGCTGGCCGCTGCCGGTCCCGCCCCCGTTCTCGGTTCATCTGCGCTCCCCTCAACCCGTCCGGCATTCCTGACCCCTGGCTGGGTGCCCTTATTTGGCCCCCTTTTCCACGATGGCTCTTCTGGCCCCCCCAGCCGAGTCTCCTCCCTCTCCCTGACCCAGTCGGAAACCCCTTCCCCGCCTCTGCGCTAACCCCTTGTCCGGGCGTTGATCCGGGCCCTGACCTCAACCCGGAACAGACCCAGCGCGAGCACATGCTGCTGCAGTCCGACGACACGATCCAGGACAACCTTCGCGCCAAGGAGCAGGAGCTGCTGCGTCGCTGGAGCATGTACCAGATGGAGGTGATCTTCGGCAAGGTCAAGGACGCCACTGGTGTGGCCGACACCCACGTGAGTGCTGCCCGCATCCCGCCGTGCCCCAGACCTTGCCGGAGCCGTGCCCAAGCCTACGAAGCCAACACGTTGGGGAGTTCCCTATATACCTCACTTCCCCTCCCTGCATCTACTGATATTCCTCAGCACACAAACCTGCTCTCCTCTTAAAAGATATCCCCTCCTCCTTCCAGCTACTGCCTCATTTCTCTGCCGCCCTTCACAGCAAAACCCACAGGAGCTGTCTACACTGACCACCATTTTCTGTCCTGTTCTCTCTTATACCGGATCTGGCATGCCAGCTCCTCGAAGACTGTATTCTGTGTCTCCAGCGCCTGTAACACGGTCTAGCACACAGTACACAGCTGGCACTCCTCATAAACTGTGCAAGCAGACTCCCCCACCCAGGATCCCGAGCTTTGCAGTCTCCTCAAAATATTCTAAGTCCCTCTCTGGTGCCTGGTTCTGGCTGGCTAACATCGATGTCTGGCTGGACCCTCCTCCTGCTTCTCCCCTTTGGGTGCTCTCCAAACTTCTACCCCTCTGCCACAGCATGGGGTCGATCCCTGAGGAGCTCATCCTGGGGCACCATGGCTAGGCCCCTTTCCAGAAGGGTGGCCTGGTGAGCAGATCGCTCCTGCTGGCTGGTTTGCTATACCTCCAAGGGCTGGGCAAGACTGGCCACGAGAATGTTGCTGACACATTGGTTTTGAAAGGCAGCTATGCTCACCACTACACTAACACTGCTCCGGACGCTGGTTTTGAGTGACTCAAATTCCTTAGACAAGAAAAGGCCTTGCAAAAATTTGTCCTGGGCTGCACACGTAGCCACATAGCCCCCAGCTTGCTGGGCAGAAGCCCCCAGTTTAGGCGACCTGTCCTGCGTCCCTGGGAGGGAGGAAGAGGGGTGACTCTGTGCCTCTCCCAAGACCCTGGCTCTGACTGGGGTCTGGGCTGCCCGTAGTCCGTGGTACGGCGGTTCCTGGCGCAGGGCGACACCTTCACACAGTTGGAGACGCTCAAGAGGGAGAACGAGGCGACGCTAGTCAGGCTGAAGCAAGAGAAGCAGGGGCTGCAGCGGGAGTTTGAACGCCTCAAGTACTCAGGGGAGACCACGCTGGTGAGGTGAGGCCTCCGTGCGCCACGAAGGAGGGCGAGGGGAGTATGCATCGGTGCGCTCCAACGGCGGCCTCTCTCACTCCCTGCTAGCGAGCAGAAGCTACATGCCGAGCTGCAGGGGCGCCTCAGGACCGAGGAGCAGCGGCGCACTGAGGCACAGGAACAGCTAGAGCGCACCACGCGGGCGATGCAAGTGGCCAAGGCGGGCCTCGAGCACCTGGCGGGCAAGCTGCTCTACATCACCGTGGTAGGCCTCGCGCTGCCCCGCCCCATCCCCTGTCCAGGGCGTCAGAGGCCTGAGAATCCAAAACTTCAGAATCCCTGCCCCACCTCAAGCCCGCCTCCACCAAAAATCCCACCCAGCCCCCACCCAAAACCTCAGAGACCCCATTCAGATCCAAGCGAGGCCCAAGACAGACGCCCACTTCGTATGTCCCGCCATCAAGAGATCCCCTGACTCGAGTCCTGCGGCTCTGGAATTCAGAGGCTCTGCCCTCACACTAGTGGCCCTTCACTTCAGAGGCCCCGCCCCACACAGCATAACACCACCCCTGTGGGTGGTCCCTCGCCTCAAAGGCTGGTCCCTGAGAGGAAAAGCCCTGCCCCCTGCGTCCCTCGCCCGGGAGGCCCGGCTCCCTCCGGACCGACCCGGCTCCGTCCCTGACCTCAGGAGGACAGCCGCTTCGCGGGAAAGGAGCTGGATCCCCAAACGGCCAACTACTTGCCGGACCTGCTGGGGGTGGTGGAGGAAAAACTGCTGAAGCTGCAGAGGCAGCTTGAAAGCCTCGACCTGCCGGAGATGCTGCAACACATCGCAGATCGTGAGGTACCCACGCCGTCAGGGGGCAGGGCTCTGGAGACCAGGGGGTGGGGCTGAGGGTGCTGGGCTGGGTCGGAGAAACCAGGAAGCCGGGGGTGGGCGACCCTCGGGAGACCAAGGAGGAGGCCAAGGAGCCGGGGATGAGCCTGAGAGACAGGGGGAAGCCAGGGGAGCTGTGAGCAGGCCCAAGCAGACCAGAAAGCGGGGTTAGGGGGCAGGGGTCTGGCGTCAGAGGCCAATGGGTGGGGCCCGAGAAACCAAGGGCGGGCCAGGGAGGAGGGGGCGGGACTGGGTATCAGGTGCAAGCTGAGAACGAGGGAAAAAAACCAACAGGGGGATTGGGCAGTGGTCTCTGTCTGGAATCAGGATATATCTCGAAATGGGATGGGGATGAAGGGAAAAGAGAACTTCCCTGCAACCCCTGTCCAGCCCACACTCCTCTCCCGCGCCTCCCCCCATTCAGTTTTACGCCAGCTTAGAGGGAAAGCTGCCCCTGCACAACACCCGCATTGATCTGCCCCTTGTCAGCTCCAAGGACAAGTTCTTCGGTCAGTGAGGGCAGGAAAAGGGGCGGGGTGGGGAGGGCCTAAGCCGAGGAGCTTGATCTGAGGCCAGATTGACGACCAAGGTGGGGCGGGGGCGGATGGGAGGAAGAGAGGAGGTGGGGGCCTGGAGGAGAGGCCGCAAATGGGGACCAGGACACCCTTCCATACCCCGCTTACTCGTCCCCCGCCACCGGCAGACGAGGAGGAGAGTGAGGACGACGACAACCACGTGGTGACTCGCGCAGCCCTCAAGATCCTTTCCCAGAAATTCATCGAATCCCGCAGCAAGAAGCGCAGTCGCTCGCGGAGGTCCTAGACTCGCTTTTGTGTCTACTTGGTGCCTCCGATTCCCTTCGGAGTCCTCGACCGCTCTGGGCCCAGCCTCAGGCCCACGGGCCTCTTCAAGGGCTGAATCGGCCCAGACAGATTGTGGAGCCAGCCGGCGGCGTGGGAAGGAGGGGAATGGGGCCTGGCCGGACGTTCCCACAGTAAATCTCCCCAGGCGGAGCCCGGAATCACGCAATAAAGGTCACCGACCAGCCCCATGGGTATTTTCCTCTCCTTGACCCAGTGCAAGAGTCCTTGGGTGATGCAAACAGTTAATGCGGTTAATGCACTAGGCTGAAATGCTGAAAGATTGGAGGTTTGGGTCCACCCAAAGACTCTTCAGAAGAAAGGCCTGGCAATCTACTTCCAAAATAATCTGCCATTGAAAACCCTGTGGAAGACAGTTCTACCCTGACACACATGCCATTGCCATGAGTAGGAGTCGACTGGGCAGCTGGTTGTCTGACCCAGTACCAGCCAAGAGACGTCTGCCCGTCAAAACCGGGTGCCACAGACTCAGGCCTCTCTTGCCTGGGGTGTAAGGAGACCCCAATCAAATGGTTACACAGACTGAGCCCTCCCTCAAAGATGGTAGATACTCCCATACCTGGGGCAAATCAGCCCTCCCCAGCTGAGGACAGAGGACTCTCTGGGGACACACACCTGCCTCCCCCGCCCCCCACATAGCCATACACACTAACTCCCTTGCACCTAGGGACCCAGAAGCGACCTTTCTCCTAGAAAGAGATGTGTCCTTTCTCCTGAGGACAGATTGACACACACCTACTAGCAGGGGTCCCATTGGCCTGGGCCGGGCCCTGGGGTCTGGCTGGGCCACAGGAGAGCGGTGGATCCGGCCCATTTCTGCTGTCCCGCCGCTCCGCTCCGCCCCGCTGGAGCGCCCTGCCACTGCCCGGCACCCGCCGGCCCTTCCGCCTCAGTCAGCGGCGCAGCGGAGCGGGACAGGCGCCGGCCATGGATCGGACAGTGGGCAAAGAGCTCAACCTGGTAAGGTGCGGAGGACTCCGGACCCCACACCCCTGGCGACCGCCAGGTCCAGAAACTCCAGGCCTCCGCCGCTTAGACCCTTATCTCACCCTTCCCCCCAGTCAAACCATTCGGAACCGCGCAGGAGTCCCCACCTCCGGTCTCAGGTCTCCTAACCCTGAAAGTGTCTGGTTACTTTTGAGGATGGGGGCGGGGAGCCCGGAGCGGGTCTGCGGGAGTGGACAGAGACTCAGTCAGCTTGGACCCTGGGACATCCCCAAAGCCCACCCCATGCCTTCAGGACGGCGCGGAGGGGACTTCTCTGGCTTGGGACCCTGTCCCAAGTCCCGCTGACTCGGGCTCGGAAGGGGGCAATCGAGCTGGAAGGCCGGGCCTGAGTCTGCGCGGGTGAAGGGGCGCCGAAGCCCCTGGCTTCGTTCCCCTCGAATGCCCTGAGCCCGACTCCGCGTCCAGGCGCCGCTACAGGACTGGGGCGAGGAGACCGAGGACGGCGCGGTGTACAGCGTCTCCCTGCGGCGGCAGCGCAGTCAGCGCTTGAGCCCGGGGGAGAGGCCTGGGGGCAGCCAGGTGAGGAAGGGGTTGAAGGGTGGTGCGGTCAGGTGAGGGCGGGGCTGCGTGGAGGGGCCTGGGAGTCACCAGGTCAGAGCGGAGCCTGGGCAGCCAGATGAAGCGGGCTGCAGGAAGGGCGGGGCTTAAAGGTGACCAGGCGAGGGTAGGAAGGGGCCTAGGGGCGGCCAGGTGAGTGAGGCGGCGCAGTTGCGGAGCAGGGCCTGGAGGCAACCTGGTACCGGCGGAACTGGACCGCTGAGCCTGGGAAAGCCAGGTTTAGTGGGGCGGAGCCAGAGGGAGGCGTGGGGTTTAGAGGCTGCAGGTGAAGGCGGAATGGGGCGGAGGGCAGGGCCTGGGAACACCAAGCAAAGCGCTACCGGGCTGCAGAGCTGACAGTAGCCTGAGGGTGACCAAGTAAGGGGGAGGCAGAGAGCAACGCCAGGGAGGATGAGGGTGCCAGGGGGCAGGGTGGGAGGATACTTTGTGGACGAGGCAAAAAGAATGAACCCAAGGGCCCCGCATTCAGAGGAAGGGACGGGATCAGATGCAAGGGCGGTGCATGAAGGAATGTACGGAGGCGCCACCCCTGCGTGTGTGTCTCATCGCCATCCTACCCCTCAGGCACCCAACCGCGCTGCAGACGCTTTTCTCCATTACCGCACGAGCAAGGTGCGAGCGCTGAGGGCGGCGCCGCTGGAGCGGCTGGTGCGCGAGCTGGTGTCCGGAGACCGCGAGCAGGATCCGGGATTCGTGCCCGCCTTCCTGGCCACGCACCGGGCCTTTGTGCCCACTGCCCGCGTGCTGGGTCTTCTGCTGCCGCCGCCGCCGCCGCCGCTGCCGTCGGGGTCAGTATATACCTGGACTCCATGTTTCTAGCCCCAGGTCCCCACCTGGATAAACCCCTCAGGTTTTAAACCAGGAACCTCCTCAACCTCAGAGCCCTCGCCGTAAGCTCCTTCTCATCCCCTCTTCGTCATCTGATCAGAGGGGGCTCTTCCCAGGGTAAAGATCAAGAAGACGGAGGGACAAGAACTGAACTTCAACAAGAACCTGAGGTTGGTCCCAATTGGGGTGGGGTGGGGGTCCTGGAGGTCCAAGGTCAGGCCTCAGGGCTACAGGGTTGGATAACCTGAAAGTCCAGGTTGGCTAATAAAAGGTCAGAGGTCAGGTTTGAGGTTTTGGGCAGGTGAGGTCCAGAGCTCAGGGCTGGGTTCTGAGGCCCAACCCTTCTTGCCAGGGCTGTGGTGTCCGTGCTGGGCTCCTGGCTTCGAGACCACCCTCAGGACTTCCACGACCCCCCTGCCCACTCGGCCCTGGGCAGCGTCTGCACCTTTCTGGGCTGGGCAGCCCCAGGGGGAGCAGAGGCCAAGGAGGCAAACAGGCTGCTGGGAGATTTCTTGGAGGAGGCTGAACGGGAGCAGGAAGAAGAGGAGCAGCCTGACCCGTGGGCAGGTGAGGGTGAGGGATTGTTCGGACTGGTGAGCACTACCCCCTCCAGGGACCTTTTCTCCCCTCTCGGAGCTACAGACCTGGGGCTGGTTCTTAACTCTGTCTGAGCCTCAGTTTCCCCACCTGTAAAATAGGATAATAACTTTTTTCCAAAGTATTAGCATTTGTTTAGCACCCTCCCCTCCCCCTCAATCCTAAATACAAAGTTACTCCACCATTGGGTCAGGATGCCCTGTGTTTCTAGCTACAACCATTCCACTCCCACTTGACTTAGGAGCCACAAGGACCTGCGTTCAAATCCCAGGTCTGCCACTTGCTGACTGTGTGACCTTGGACACGTTGCTTCACCTCTCTGAGCCTCAGTTTCCTCATCTGTGAAATGGGGATGATAACAGTTTTTACCACACTGAGCTCTTTACTCATTCAGCAAATATTTAGCTACTGGCTCTAGGTACATAATGATGAACAACAGCTCAGAGTTCCCTGGTGAAGACAGTAAACAAGGAAATAAACAGTAAGGGCTTGGCACCATATCTTGGCAAATAGTATTATTTTTATTGTTGTTATCTCTAATTCTTAATTATTAGATATCTACTGCTTATAATAAAATATATACAAGAAGTTATACTGATATTTTCTTCTAGAGTAGATGTCAGCAAACTATCTAACCCTTTACAAAAAAGTTTGTTGACCCTGTTGTTGAGCACTTTGGGGGTAGGGGTATATCCATATATATACTTCATTCAGGTCTTTGTTCAAATGTCACCTCCTCAGAGAAGCCTTCCGTGACTTCCTCAACAAAAATATCCTCTCCCCTTGACTTATTTTTCTGCATCACTACCTTTTACTTGCTTCAGTTCTGGCTTTTGCTCATCTGCCTCATGGACTGAGTGCATGAGAGCAGGACCACATCCTTCTTGTCTCTAACTCTGTCTCCAGTGGCAGGTACAACTCAGTTTTGTTGACTGAATAATTACCTCCTGGCTCAGGGGTCAGCCCTCTCCATGCCAACAGCTTATAAAGTATCATCTCTCACCCATCTGTGTTTGATCTCATCCCTATTACAAAAAGCTTCTATATCCCTAATCCCCATCCTTTAATCCTCAGATTAAAGTGGCTACATTCCTCTCCATTTTACAAAGCAGCAGCCACTTCTTTATTCCCGAGGACAAATCCCAGCTGTTTTTATATTTTTATTTACCCTTCTCCACTCCTGGTTACTAAGTGTCTTTCTCCCCCTGCCTTCAAGAGTTCATCAATTTATTTCAAGTCATCAGAGATTAACAGTCCAATGTGGTAACCACAAGCCCCATATAGCTATTAAAATCAAATTTAAATTAATTAAAATTAAAGAAAAATAAACATTCGGTTCCTCAGTCACACCAGCCACATTTCAAGTGCCCAGTAGCCACTTCTGGCTCATTGTGACCACATTGGACAGCACAGAGAGAGAACATTTCCACCATCGCAGAAAGTTCTAGTCAGAGTACCGTCCTAGGCTCTGAGTTCTTTGAGGGCAGAGAAGAAAATGAAGATTGAATACCTACTGTGCACCAGACTCTGGGACACACTTTATTTTAATATCTTCTTGTTTGAGTTTACTTTTATTATGGAAAATTTCCAATGTACCAAAACAGATTAGTACCCTCGGATGTCCCTCACTCATCTTCAACAATTATCAATTTGACCAGTTTGTTTGTTTTCTAGGAGGATGTTCAAGTAAATCCCAAATTTCGTTGTGCCTCTAACTGACAAAGACTTTTTTGTTTGTTTGTTTTTTATATAACTTTCATACCTATAATCATTTCTAACAAAACCAGCAATAATTCCTTCATATCAAAAACACCCAGTCCATATTCACATCTCCCCATCATCTCTAAATAGTCTTTTTACAGTTATCACTTCAAATCAGAGTCCAAAGATGATGAGCCACTCAAGACATTTGGTTGTTTGTCTCTGAGGTCTCGTTTATTCTATAACAGTCCTCCCTCATGTTTTTATTTAATGCCATTTGTCTCAAGGAACGTCCCACATTCTGGATTTGCCTGTTTGCTTCTTCATGGTGTCATGTAGCATGGTCCTCTATCCTCCATCCTCGCTCTGAGATCTAAAGCTTTGATTAGATTTAGGTGTACTTTTTTTTCCCATAACCCATTTTTCTAAATTAATATTTTGCAATGCTACCTTTCCTAAACTGAAATGAAAGACAGCTCACTTAAAAGATCATTTAAAAAATAATATGATACTGTAACTGTCACTTGAAGGAGAAATAAAATGAAAGTAGTGTACACAACCATGAACTATGGTTTTCGGTATGTTACTGCTTGAGTAGGTCTCACTAGGAGACACAATGAAGTGGTCCAGTGTCTTTGCTTGTCATGGGATCACGGTGAATGGAACCCCTGCAAACACTGACTAATACATGGGTGTGCGGTGATGACTCGGACACAGCAGCAAAGATGATAGTGACATTGTTTTCCAAAGTGGTGACTAACACTCAAAAATTCCAAACAAAACAAAGTCCAGACTTTCATGGTTTGTATTTATGAGCAAGATAGTCAAGTTCTAGGTGCAGATGACTGTAAACAGATCTTTCTAATGATGTGAATGCCTGGAGGGACTTTTGAAGACTGGTGACAAGTCTAGTCCCCACAAAGCAGAATCCCCAGCATCCTGCCCCTCATCTTGGCACATCCAAAAACAAATCTAGAAACTTCCAAAATGTCCCCTAGGAGCACCACCATTTAAACTCACTGGGGTAAAAATCACATTTATTGACCACTTTGTAGCAGTTTGATATGTATGATCTCATTTAATCTAAAAAAAAAAAAAAAATCAAGATGAAGAAACCAAGGCACAGAGAGGTTAAAAGACTTGCTTTAGCTTACACAGCAAGCTGAGTGGACAAGCCATGAAGTTATACCATCGCTCCCAAAAGAAGGCAGACGAATCTTATCCTAAAACAGGCTCGAAATCATAAAACTTGATTTTCTACTCCAGCCTTTGAACACTTATCATGCCCATTCTACCATTTACTGAAACTGTGATCTCGGGCCAATGGCTCCGTGCCTCAGTTTCCCCACTTGTAGAAGGTGGATAAATAATAGCATCTCCCTCTCTGGGTTAGTGTGCTAGGTTAATCCAAGCTAGGCACTCAATGAAGGTTAATGTTGCTGTTGCATTCCCAGGGTTTTTATTCTTCTTGTTAGGTGCTTGGAGTCCATTTCAACTCATTGTGACTCCATGTAACAGAGTAGAACTGCCCCATAGGGTTTTCTTGGCTGTAATCTTTATGGAGCCGACTGCCAGATCTTTCTCCTGCGGAGCCGCTGGGTAGATTCCAACAGTCAACCTTTCAGTTAGCAGCCAAGCCCTTAACCGTTGCGCCACCAGGGCTCCTGAGGGTTCTTCCCCACCATGCTCCCTTAAGGACCTCCCGGAGCTGCCCAGACCTGGCCAAGCTCCCCGGAGGGCTGCATGGAAGAAGAGGAAGGATTCCAAGGATTTGTGCCGAAGGGCCCCGAGCTCCTGGACTTCAGCGTGGACGAGGTGGCGGAGCAGCTGACCTTGATGGATGTGGTGAGGACCCGGAACCCGGTCGGGGCTGGGGGTGCGGTGAAGTGGGCCCTGCTGAGCTCTGCCCCTCCCTCCACCCCGCCCAGGAGCTCTTCTCGAGGGTGCGGCCCTGCGAGTGCCTGGGCTCCGTGTGGTCGCAGCGGGACCGGCCGGGGGCTGCGGGCACTGCCCCGACCGTGCGCGCCACCGTGGCCCAGTTCAATAAAGTGACGGGCTGCGTACTGGGCTCGGTGCTCGGGGCGCCGGGCCTGGCCTCCCCGCAGCGGGCGCAGCGGCTGGAGAAGTGGATCCGCATCGCCCAGGTGAGTGCTGGGCTGGAGGAGGCGCGTGGCACGGCGGCGGAAGGCGGAGGAACCGGGGTCTGTGAATGGGGGTAGGGTGGGGCCGGGGACAAAAGAGGGACTCTGGGGCTGGTCTCGGGATAAGAGGATAGGATGGGGGGTTGGGGGAAAAAGTAAGACTGGGGAAGAACCAAATCAAGGACGAGGCTGGGGTCCCGAAAGAGACTGAGCAGAGCGGGACAGGGGCCTCTGAGCTGGAATGAAAAGGGAGAAATGGCCCGGGTGTGAGTAGAGGGCTCGGCGAGGGGTAGGAGGGGAAAGGGGGGACAGTAGGGGAGGGAGCCTGGGAGAAGGTTGATACCTGGGTGAGACTTGGGTTCAGGAAGGAGGGGTCTGGGCCTGGGAGAGATGCTGTGGGTGGGTCTAGGGCCCTGGGGGTTCGAGAGATGTAAAGGGTAGGCAAGGGGAGAAACCAAGGTGGGAAGTGGAGGCTGGGGAGAGACTGGGGCTGGAGGAGAGAGGAGGGGAGGGGACTTCTGGGGGAGGAGGCTTAGTCTTGGTAGTTTTGTCAGATGTGGGGCAAAATGTAGGGGTCAGAAGTGACGAGGTTAAAGGTGGGTCTTGCCTGGGGGTCAGACATGGGGTCTGACTAGCGCCCCCATCCGGCCTCTCAGCGCTGCCGAGAACTGCGGAACTTCTCCTCCTTGCGCGCCATCCTGTCCGCCCTGCAGTCTAACCCTATTTACAGGCTCAAGCGCAGCTGGGGCGCGGTGAGCCGGTGAGTAGGACTGGGAGTGGCGGGAGGCGGCTGCTGGGGTGGGACCTCCTCCTCACACCCGCTTTGACCCTCCCAGCCTCTGACCCCTGACCTCTCTCTGGTGCCCCAGGGAACCGTTATCCACTTTCAGGAAACTTTCGCAGATTTTCTCTGATGAGAACAATCACCTCAGCAGCAGAGAGATTCTTTCTCAGGTATGGATGCGTAGAGCCACCGGGATTCCAGGCCCAGGAAGGGGACATGGGTCTGGGCAGGGTATCTGCCTTGTCATTGTCATAACATCCAGTGTTCTTTCTATATACCTCAGGAATGACCCTTCTTTTGTCCGGGCCCCATTGCCTCTGCTTTCCCCCTAATAGCCCATTCAGTGACTGCTTTGTTTATTCATTCAACAAACACAAGAAGTCTCAAGGAAAAGGTCACTTGAGACCAGACCCATAGCAAATAGTGAAGGGAAAAGAAAAAAAAAATGATGCTGGGAACTTTACCTTGATAACTCAAAATGGTATGCCAACAAGTCTGGTTCACTGTAGGCCAGACTTAGGTTGTATTTGCAACAAATATCCCACTTCAGAGAGGTCCTCCCTGAGCCCGCCATCATCTCCAGCCCACCCTACTAAGTGCCCTCATGACTGTGCTGTTACAGTGTTGTTGCCCATGTCTCCTACACTCCTGTCTACTCCAGGAGGCCGGGATTGATGTCTGTTTTGTTCACTGCTGGGTACCCAGCACCCAGAATGGCACCTGGCCCACAGTAGCTGCTTAATAAATATCTGTTAGTGAATGAATGACTTAAGTAACGAGGGCTCCAGTAACAAGGAGTCTTGCACTAAGCACCTACTGTGTGCTAGGCACTGTGCCAGAAGGTTCCATTGTGACCCAGACACTGTTTCTGCCCTGGGCGACTCAGTACCATGACAGCTGCCCCAGAAATTCTGTAATTACCAGGCAGAGCAAAACTCTGAAGACAAGATTCAGGGTGTTCCTAGGGTATCCCCAGCTGGCCTGTTCCATCCAGGCCAGGCACAGGGTTCTCTCCTGTCCTGGCACCATAAGCCCCACCTCCCGTCATCCCTGCTGCGCTTGCCCACTGCTGCCTACCTGCTCCCTGCCTGCCTCTGGTCACTTTTCCCCCGGGTGGTCCAGTTCCTTGGGCTTGGCCTTTACAACGGGCTTGTGATTGTTGAAAGCAAAATGGGTGTATATGGTGGGTCTCAAGGCTCTGCCCTGAGGGAGGCGTCAAAGGAGACCTTGGGTCCTCTCAGGCCTTCCTCTCCCCCAGGAGGAGGCTGTTGAGGTACCCCAACAGGAGGACACTCCCCGAGGAAGCCTGACTTCAGTGAGTGATTCAGTTTGGAATGAGGGACAGGTGGGACCCTCAAGGAGGGGAGTGAGAGGTAACGGGGAGGTCATTGATGATAGAGAGTGACTGGAGCTCTGGGGCCTGCAGAAGCTGTCTTCAGGTCCTGTCCCCTACCTCGGTACCTTCCTCACGGACCTGGTTATGCTGGACACCGCCCTGCCAGACATGCTGGAGGTCTGACCCCTGACCCTTGACTCCTGACCACAGCCCCACTTCCCCTTAGCTCCGTGGGCCTCCTGATATCCCAGCCTCGACCCTGACCATTGTTCCTTGACTGGGGAGTCTCTAGTTAAGACATACTTTGTCTAATGCCCAGGGGGATCTCATCAACTTTGAGAAGAGGAGGAAGGTGAGTGAGCACTGGGGTAGGTGTGCAGAGTGCTCAAGGGTGGGGGCTGGTCAGGGTGGGATCTCAGAGGCTGCCCCCTCAGGAGTGGGAGATCCTGGCCCGCATCCAGCAGCTGCAGAGGCGCTGTCAGAGCTACTGCCTGAGCCCCCACGTGCCTATCCTGGCCGCCCTGCGTGCCCAGCGCCAGCTCAGCGAGGAGCAGAGGTGATTACTGAGGCCTGGCCCCGCCCCACCCCAGCAGGCTCTGGACCACAACACTCTATCCAGCTTACCGCATTCCCCTCTCCAATTCCTCCTGGGCCCAGACCCCCAACCTGTGACCTTTCTTTGTCACCAGCCCAACTGAGGGCCCCATCAACCTCTGACCCCAAACTTTGACCCTGTTGGACTTTCTGACTTCAACCTTTGACAGTCATCTGGCCATTCAACTCAACTGTCCCATCTGCTCTCTTACCCAACTTCTGACCCTATCTTACCCTTGGTCCCATTTGTGACCCCCAAATCTGACCCTCTGACTCCAGTCGTTGACCCCCAGTGCTGAGTAACTGACTGTGAACTTTGATGTTTCTTTGACTGTCCAAGTCAATTAACCCAATTATTTCCTTTCATTCCATGGAATCCATGACCCGAACCATTGACCTCAGTGATTACCTGACCCCAGTCTGACCCTTGACCCAATCTGACTCCTCAGTTTCACCGTTTGAGTCCCCATATGGCCTGCTAACCATGTCATCCCATCTCATCCCTGAGCCTAATAATAAGACCCTGGTGCCCTACTTGACCCCCATTTGATACCCTGATCCTGACACTTGATGCCCCCCACCCAAAACCCAACTCCCAACTGATTCTAACTCTTCATCCCCTCTGCTTCCTGGCCTCAACCCACCGTTCATCTGCCCCTTGACCTCTCAGTTACCGCATCTCCCGCGTCATTGAGCCGCCGGCTGCCTCCTGCCCCAGCTCCCCACACATCCGGCGGCATATCAGCCTCACCAAGCGCCTCAGTGCGTGAGTCTTGGGGTATAGGGGGTGATGTGGGTAGAGGTGTGCAGGGGCTGTTCCTAGGCTGAGTCTGACCTCAGCCTCATCCCCTGTCCCCATTCTTAGGAAGCTGTCCCGAGAGAAAGGCTCGTCCCCTGGTGGGAGCCCCAGGGACCCCTCATCTCCCACCTCCAGGTGAGGATCTCACTTGGTGGGAGAGACTGGAGACAGCAGCGTCAGGGATGGAACAGCCACCCCACCTCAGGCTCTGCATCTGCCCCAGTCTGTCTCCAGGCTCCCCCCCATCCAGCCCTAAAACCAAGGACCCTCCTCTTGGCACTCCCACAGCCTCTCCAGGGCCCCGAGGCCCTAGCACCAAGGTACCAACTGCTTGCGTGTGTGCATGGGGGACTTTGGGCACCCAGGGCTGTGTGTATGTGTACACGTGAGATCGAGGGCCCAGGTGTGGACATTGAATGCATACTTGGCTGAGCACCCTGGGTAGATGTCCAGAGGATCGTGTGCTTCTCCATGGCCCTGTCTGAGGGATTGTTGTACCAATCTGAGCTTGGGCACAGCTTGAGACCCATGCATCTGCTGCCCACAGGGCACTCTGGGGTACAACCTCATACTTTTACAAGGATGCATGTGCCCCCAGGAATCTGCATATTTAAAGAGGAAATGTGGGCATGGATATTGGTGGGACCAAGAGTGGGACTGTTTGTTGAACAATGGTTTGTACGTATACAACCACTGTGAGTACGTGTGTAGGCACTGCTTCCTGTGTACACGGGATTCCTTGTGCGTTTATTGGTCATGTGTAAGTTTGTTGTCTAATAGGGAACCAAGGTCTGTATGTGATGCGATTGAGTGTACGTGGGCGCTCTGATTGTTTGTCTCAGACTTTGGATGTGTAGGGGTTGTGTGGTCTGTGTATACATGGGACTGTAAACAGAGGCCTTTAGGATACATCAGTGCAGGAGAGGCTGCGTGCTCCCCCACCCCTTGGTATTGGTTGCTGAGCCAGGCTGCAGCCTCTACCCCCCACTGCCTACAGCTGCCCCTGGGTCCAGACATCCCAGGCCCCCGGGCCCAGGCCTTGCCGCTGAGTGGCCCTCACGTCCCCCTCTCCGGGCAGCAGAGCTCAGATACCCGTGTCATCCGCGTCAGCATCGACAATGACCACGGGAACCTGTACCGGAGCATCTTGGTGAGGGGCTGGGCCAGGAGCCTGCTGGGGAAACCCTGCTTTTTGGCGTGGTCCTCACACCTCACTTCCTGCCCTTGCCTTCCCAGCTAACTAGTCAGGACAAGGCCCCCAGCGTGGTACAGCGAGCCTTGCAGAAGCACAATGTGGTCCAGCCCGGGGCCCAGGACTACCAGCTCTTCCAGGTCCTTCCTGGGGACAGGGGTGAGTAGGGACAGCTTGGAGCCTAGGCTTGGGAGTGCGTGGGAGGGTGGCAGAAACCAGGGTCCAGGATGAAACGAAGTTACCTGGGCTTACAGGGCCATGAGGTGGGTCGTGCTCAGAGTAAGGGTAAGATGATTTTCCATGAACTCAGTGGCAGGGTTGGGGGAAGATGCAGTAAAATGGCTGGGCTGAACTTACATGAGGTCATGAGGTTGTCCAGGCTCAGTGTGAAGAAACCCGAAAACCAAACCAAACCCATTGTCATCAAGTCGGTTCTGACTCACAGTGACGCTAAGAGGGTAGAGTAGAACTGCCCCATAGGGTTTCCAAGGATATAATCTTTACAGAAGCAGATTGCCACATCTTTCTCCCACAGAGCGGCTGGTGGGTTTGCTGGCCCTTTAGATAGCAGCCGAGTGCTTAACCACTGTGCCACCAGCACTCCTTAGTGTGAGGAAGGGGACCATCAAAAGTTGTTTTTGTGCAGTGACTAAGCACTTGGCTGCTAACCAAAAGGTTGGCAGTTCGAATTCACCAGCCACTCCTTGGAAACACTATGGGGCAGTTCTCCTCTGTCCTATAGGGTTACTATGAGTCGGAATCGAGTCAACAGCAACAGGTTTGGATAGGGAAATGAGATTGTCCAGGGTCAAAGTGGAAAAGGGAATGTAGAAAGTTGTCTGGGCTTAAATTTTAAGGTCATGAGGTTGTTGAGGCTCAGCCTGATTGGGTAGGACGCTGAAGGGAGACTGGGCTTGCAGTTGTGAGGAAATGAATATGTCTAGACTCAGCATGGGGACCCTGAAGTTATCTGGGCTTGGGATGGGAGAGGGCCAAATGGTTTTGAAATTCAAGGTAGGGGAACACGAGGTTGTTTGGTGTGGAGGGGAGAAAGAGGTTGTCCAGTCTTTGAGAGGGAGAGGCAAGGGGTTGACTACTCATGCTGAAAGGCATAGCATGAGGATGGCTACACATGAGGAAGGATTATGTGAGGTTTTTCAGGTGTTAAGTGTGAGGGTTTGGAGTAAGAGCTTGTTTAGGCTCATGGTGAGGTTGGCTCAGCACTGGCTGGAAGGACTCAAAGTTGTTTAGACCTCAGGGTATATGGTAGAATGTTACGTAAGTCCTCTGTGGGGGAGGCATGAGGTTGTGCAGGCCTTTCACCATCATCCCCACCCCTGGCCAGAGCTCCTGATTCCTGACAATGCCAACGTCTTCTATGCAATGAGTCCAACTGCCCCTGAAGACTTCGTGCTGCGGCGGAAGGAGGGAGCTCGGCACCCACCCTCTCTTTCCCTAACTTGAGGTGGGCCTCCCCTCCCTCCAGGATACAGACCCCATGGGCAGCTTGGGGCCTGACTTATATCACCGCCGAGGCAGAGGGCTCTTCTCACCAAAAGCCCTCATCCTCCCATAGATGCCATTTTGCACTGTACCCTGTGACCACCCCTCACTGGACCACAACCCTTTGACCCTCTTGGCACTGGGTCCTTGTTCCAAGGACATCAGCTCACGGGATGGCTGGTGGAGAGCTTCACCTCATAAATATAGAAGGAGGCGGGGTGTTGGGGGGTCAGACCCCTTCCCAGAGAAATCTTGTAACTGTTGGAGACACATCAGAACTGACAGAAGCAGATAGTGAGCAAAGTTATGAAACAAGAGTCTTGTTTGTTCTTCATCAAGATAAAACACACACACAAAGAAAAACTAAGAGCTCTGTCTTAGTTATCTAGTGCTGCTGTAACAGAAATACCACAAGTAGGCAGCTTTAACAAACAAATTTATTTTCTCACAGTTTAGGAGGCTAGAAGTCCGAATTCAGGGTGCTGGCTCTAGAGGAAGGCTTTCTCTCTCTGTCAGCTCTAGAGGAAGGTTCTTATCTCTCCTGAGCTTCTGCTTCTGGGCAATCTTCATATGGCTTGGCATCTCTCTTCCCCCATCTCTACTCTGCTCGCTTTTTTAATCTCTTTTATATCTCAAAAGAGATTGACTCAAGATACACCCTACACTAATCCTGCTTCATTAACATAACAAAGACAACCCATTCCCAAATGGGATTATAACCACAGGCATAGAGGTTAGGATTTACAATACGTATTTTTTGGGGACACAATTCAATCCATAAGAAGCCCTAAGAGAGCAGCTGGGTGAGGCATGCCCAATGCCACAGAGGGGATATGCCTCTTCTTTGCCACGTATATGGGAGAGTGAAGAAATGAAATTCCATTGGCATAGCAGACAAGTCGTGTCATTATCCCTGACTCAGTAGGGGCTAAAGAGGAGGAGAGGAGTAATGGGGTAGGAAGAAGAAGCAGAGAAAGTAGAGATGAAGTGAGCTGTAGGGCCAACTGCAACATAGCGATAATAATAATCACCCCACTTATGAACTCCTGCTATGTGTTGGTCATCAACTAGGAGCTTTACATCTCATTGTATTACTCAAGGTTCTTTCTGTTCTAAGTGGTCAAGAACCCAGTTCAAACAGGCTTGTGCAAAAAAAGGAAATATAATGGTTCATGTAATTGAAATGTCCAATGGGCCTGGATTCAGACACAGTTGAATCCAGGGACTCAAAAGATGTCATTACGATTTTGTCTCTGTCACTCTGCTTTGCACCGAGAATGAGACTGTCTGTTGATCTCCCCAAATCCAATCACCTTCTTCCATGGTAATAGAAACTCTGATTTTTAGTTGGCCACCCAAAGTAAAAACCACATCTCTTGTCTCTCTTGCAGCAAGACATGGTCTTATGACTAAGTCCTAGCCAATGAGACGTAAGGGGAAAGGATGTAGACAAATTCCAGGTCCTTCCCATAAGGGCAGGGGTATATCCTACCCTTCCCCCATTTCTGCCTTCTGCTGGCTGGAATGAAGATGTGCAGTGAGCCATCCTGGATTGGAAGGTTCTTACTCTCTGAATAGCCAAGCAACAAGCTGAGAGACGCCTAGGCCTCTGACACCAGGGAGCTGCCATATTGAATTGCTGCTACTTGGATCATTATGTAAGAGAGAAATAAATGTCTATCTTACTTAAGACTCTTGTTATCTGGGTCTCTATTACAGTAGCCAAATAAATATTTAAATTAATACAGCCCTACTCCAAGACAAGGTCACCCCTTATGGGAGCAGGGCTAAGCTTACATCCAACTAGCTCAGCCCTTCCATTCAAAGAGAGCCCCTCTTTCGTATCACTGCCAGCTAAAGTCCCAGAGCAGATGCCCATTGGACCAACTTGATCATGTGTTTACCCTTGAACCAATCACTGTGTTCAGATTAATGTAATATGCTAATTGAACAGGCCTGGGTCCTGTGCCCTCCCCTTGAGCTGGTAGAAAGGCTTCAGATCACAGGAATGAAGTCTGGAGGGCACATAAATGGAAATTAAAATTGGGTACTATTACTAGTAGGGGAATGGCCAGTGAGTAGGCAAAAAACAATATCTAGGGTGCTGAACATTGTCCCTGAAGCAATAATGGGGGATGTTCAGGCACTGTCTGGGGTGAGAGAGAAGATAGAAGAACCTAAACATCATGTAAGATCTGATAAAAGAAAATTCTAAGGCCAATTACAGGACACAACATGCTACTTTACAGGCTAATTTTTGTTTAATTTTGCAATGAATATTAAGATCATTTGGTTGCAAAGTCACATCCTCCTTGAGCTAGTTTAAACAATAATTGCTAACCTTTACCAGAGGCATTGGTGGTTCAGTGGTAGAATTCTTGCCCTTCATGCAGGAGATCCAAGCTATTACCCTGAGATACTCTTTGAACCTTGAACTGAAACTATCCCCTGAGGTCACCTTTTTAGCGAAATAACAGATTGGCATACAAAATAAAGGATCTTACCCATGAATACTCCAAAAGGTCAATTACCCTAAAGCAAAGATGAGAAAATAAGGCGGCTGGGAAACAAGAATACTGGAAACAGAACAACCAGAATGTAATTAAAGAGCATGTTGACACATTGTGAAAAATGTAACTAATGTCACTGAACAATTTGCATAGAAAATGTCAAATGGGAACCTAGTTTGTTGTCTAAACTTTCACTGAAAACACAATAAAATATTACATAAAAAAAAAAAAAATCCTATGGATCACAATGGCCCGAGGCAGCATTTCATTCCATTGTGCCTGAGGGCACCACGAGTTGGGAGCCAACTCAACAGCACCTAACAACAACAACCTTTACTGAGTGCTTTCTATGTGCCAGGCACTATTGTAAGAACTTGACAAAATCCATCTCCTTTACTCCTCACAGTAGCCCTGTGAAAAAGGTATTATTATCATCACCGTTTATACACGAAGAATCTGAGATTAGGGAGGATTAAGTCACTTGTCCATGGTCATGTGGTAAATACTTGGCGAGGCTGGGGTTCAAACTAGAGTGATCTGATTCCAGGACGTATGCACTTAACCTCTGGGCTGGTTTGCCTCTCATAGTCACTAGTTTCTAATTCTGCCTCTCAAACACAGTCCAAATGCTAATTTCCTAAGGAAGAGAATCTCGTTGACTTTTTTTTTAATGCAGGGGTACTCGGGCACAGCTCCTAAGTGGCTAGGACAAGGTCAATGGTCTCTCTACATCTCTTGGATTGGTTTGCCTCTCATCCTTTACTCAACAAATATTTCTTGAGCTCCTACTGTTTGCCAGGCTCTATTCTAGGCGCTGAGGACACAACAATGAGGAAAACAGTTAAAAGTCCCAGCCCTCATGGACAGGTGGGGAGCAAATCAGTAACAAAACACCAAATACAAAAAACTAAGCTATTTAAGGGTAATAGGGAGTGTGGGGTGGGAGGTTGCTATTTTAAATAGGGTGGTCAGGGAAGGAATTCATCGAGGTGACATTCTGGCAGAGACCTGAATAAAGAGAGGGAGTGAGCCTTCCAGGTAGAGTGAACGGACAATGCCCAAATCCGTGTTTAGTTTCACCATCAGGCAATTTCTTTCCTCCTGGTGGCAAACATACCTCTGGTTACTCCATCCACCCAGCCCAAGCCCAACAAAAAGGGGTACCCATTTCCCAGTAATGCCAGCTGAAGTCCCAAGATGGAAGGTCATTGGCTTCACTTGGGTCACATGTCCACCCTGAGCCAATCACTGTGCCCCCAGGGTAAAGAGCACTCTGATTGGCTAATCTGAGACAAGCAAGCACAATGAGGACCCATTCCTCCCCTAGGCAATGTACCTGTGGGGTACCTCAGCCCAGGTGAACAGCTTTCATGATTTCTTACTTAATTATTTTCCAGACTATTAAAAGAACTGCACACTCCTTGTAAAATACAATATACCAAGAGTACAAAAATGTAAATGATAGTAAAAAATTGTCTAAAAAAATCATAATTGAAATCTCACTTTCCAGAATATATGTAATTTTACAAATACACAATTATGTTATATATACTGTTGGGGACTCAACAACTGCTAGTCCTTATTATCATTACTGTTTATTCCTCCAGACTGGGGAGGGACGTTAATTAACACGATAATATCAGTAGATTACATTTTTTGAATGTTTGCTATGTATTTCACAGATGAAAAGGCTGAGGCTCAGATAAGGTAAATCACTTGCCCAGGGTCACACAGCAACGAAGTGTGTCTGACACCGGAACCAGAGCTGTTCCCGCCCCCCAAGCAGCCACAGGGCCACTGCCCCCTCCTGCCCGACGGGGCGGGACCGCAGCCTCCTCTTATCTCTGCCCAGGCTGCGTGCTGGCCCCGCCCCCTTGGGGGAGCTGCCACTTGGAGGAGCTGGGCCGGGAAGGGGCTGGTCAGCTGCGTCCGGCGGAGGCAGCTGCTGACCCAGCAGTGGATTGTGCCAGGGTGGAGACGGGGTGGGGGCTGGAGCCCTGGGCCCCCATAGCGGGGCCTGCTCCATGGGCCCCCTTTGGGCACCCCTCTGGCCCCGAGTCGGCTTTCTCTGTCTCCTGCTTGCTGGGGCCGCCTGGGCCCCCCTACCCAATCCCCCAGACCCCAAGTTTGAGCGCAAAGGTAAGGATGAAGTTGTGTGTGGACCTCCACACTGGGTCCTGGAGGGTGATGCTGGGGCCTGAACTCCCTCCCAGCTTGGGTCCTAAGGGCGAAGCTAGTGCAAGAACCCCCAGGCTGGCTCCTGGTGGAGCATGCTGGAATCGAAGTCCCCAGACTGGGTCCTGGAGGGGCATACCGTGTCTAAGTCCCCAGACTGGGTCCTGGAGGGACATACAGGCTCTAAGTCCCCAGACTGGGTCCTGGAGGGGCATACCGGCTCTAAGTCCCCAGACTGGGTCTTGGAGGGGAGTTAGAGGCGGGCATAAGGGTCCCTAGTGTTAACCTTTCAGGGAGCCTGGGACATGGTAAATCCTAGTGGGGCAGGGGTGGTGCTAGGCCTACGCCCTGCGGTCTGAGTCCCTGAGGGCTGAGGACCAAGCGGACCCTCCAGAGGGGGAAGGAGGATAAAGCTCGGGTCCAACTCTGTGGGGCCGGGTGGCAGGCAACTGTAAACACAGTATTCTTCTGGCGCCAGATGCCTAGCCCCGCCGGGTCGAGCGAGGGGGCGGGGGCCACGGTTGGCACTATCGGGCAGCTGGGAGCCTGCGGGGCCCGATAGGGGGCCCCGCCTCTTCCACACACACCCACCCGCACGCACGTCCTGGGCGGGGCGGGGTCGGCAGCTCGAGGCCAAGGCCTTGAACGCTGCACTCACCCTGGCCTGCCGCAGGAGGGCAGTTTTGTGTGCGAAGACTGTGAGGCAGGCAGCCTACGCTTGGAAGCTGGGGGTGGGGGGGGGGAGCGGCATCCCTCTCCAGAGCCCCAGAGGCGCCCCAGCTGAGGGCGTGGGCGGGGCTTATTCTTATCGGCCTGGCCAGGCGGCGGGAGGGGAGGGGGCTGTGGCCCGAGGCTGGGGCTCGGCTACGCTGACCCCCTCCCCTATCACCCCCTTAGTGGCCCTGCTGGGGGCCGGGCCTGAAGAGCTACTGTGCTTCACCGAGCGGCTGGAGGATTTGGTGTGTTTCTGGGAGGAAGCGGCAAGCGTCGGGGTGGGCCCTGACAACTACAGCTTCACCTACCAGCTCGAGTGAGTCCCACAGGGCTGGCAGAGGGCCCCCACGGGTGGAGAGGTCAGGCGGGCGGGGCAGCACTCCCCGGAGGTCGCAGCCGGGGACCGGACAGCGCCTCTCTAGCCGTCACTGGTGTGAAGCCCACGGGGTCAGGGCTGGGACATTCCTGTGATCACCGCTGGAATGCGACATCAAACATCTGGGCTGGGACAACACCCCTCCAAATTCAAATTAAGGAGTCACTCATGTTGGGCGAGACGGCCTCTTTTGGCGGCAGCCGGAATGCCACAGCGTTCCGGTGATCTAGAGACCTACATCACGGATTCAACGTCCCAGCCCCGCGGGACGATCTCTCTGCCTCACCCTCATCAGAGCTGACAGGTCCCTCACGTCGGCGCTTAGACGCCCCCGGTGGTAGTAACCGGAATGCCCCATGGTCCAGGCAATACAGACTCCCCAACTTGCTCCCTTCCCTCCCGCGTCCTCGGCGCACAGGGGTGAGCCATGGAAGCTGTGCCGCCTGCGCCAGGCGCTCACCGCCCATGGCGCGGTACGCTTCTGGTGCTCGCTGCCTACGGCCGACACGTCGAGCTTCGTGCCCCTAGAGCTGCGCGTCACGACGACCTCCTCCGGCGCTCAGCGCTACCGCCGCATCATCCAAGTCAACGAAGTGGGTAAGTGTGCCGAGAATGGGGGGGTGGTCGCGGGAGGGGGTCTCAGTCTCCGCCCATCTGACCATCCCCTCCCTCAGTGTTCCTGGACCCTCCCGCAGGTTTGCTGGCGCGGCAGGCGGACGAGGGCGGCCACGTGGTGCTGCGCTGGCTACCGCCGCCTGGGGCACCCATGGCGAGCCACATCCGCTACGAGGTGGACGTCTCGGCCGGCAACGGCGCTGGGGGTGCGCAGAGGGTAAGGCCCGCCCCTACGGCCCCACCCCGCCTCTCGAAGCCCCGCCTCTCGAGCCCCGCCTCCACGAGTGTGGGGCGTGGTGGTCGTAGCAGCACCGACAGGCCCGCTCACCAGTAGCACCCCTGACCCCCGACACCCTCCCATACCCTACTCACCCTCGCCCCTCCAGGTCCCGTCACTGACGCCCGACATCCCATTGCCCTGACGCCCAAGACAGCTCCACGCCCCACTGTCACGCACGCTTCCCCAATGCTGCCCAAGCCCGCCTGAATCCTCAATGCTCTCAACCCCACTTCTCGCTTCGTCCCAGTCCCAAACTTCTTTAGGGCCCGCCTCCTTGACACGCTGGCCCACCTTCGAGTAGCCCAGGTCCTGCCCTCTGGTCTCATTGGCTCCACTGCAATGGAGCCAACTCTGTCCCTCCTCCCCCAGATTGGCTTGGTCCTCTAAGGCCCTCCCCAAGATGCCCCCTTCGGCTCGACCCACCCTTACTGGCCACGCCTCTCTCCCGGGCCCCGCCCCAAGGTGGAGATCCTGGAGGGCCGGACCGAGTGCGTGCTGAGCAACCTGCGCGGTCGGACGCGTTACACCTTCGCTGTACGCGCGCGCATGGCGGAGCCGAGCTTCGGTGGCTTCTGGAGCGCCTGGTCAGAGCCTGCGTCACTGCTGACTGCTAGCGGTTAGGTCCACCCCGGGGGTGTAGGAGGGGCCGGGGCGGAGCACCGGGCAAGCCCGCCGCGCTGACCTCCTCTCCGCCCCGTAGACCTGGATCCACTCATCCTGACGCTCTCCCTCATCCTCGTGCTCATCCTGCTGCTGCTGGCAGTGCTCGCCTTGCTCTCCCACCGCCGGTGAGCCCCCTATTCGAGTCCCCGACCCAGACTCCTCCCTGACAGCCAGTTCTTTGGCTCTGAACCCTTGCAGGGCAGCACCCCAGGGCAGCCTGTGATGGGACCGGGAACACCTTTCGCTGTTGAAATCGAGGCTCAGAGAGGAGCACCCCAAGGTCACACAGCGAGAAGTCAGTGGCAGGGCCAACCAGGAATGCAAGCCAGACCAGACCCAAACGTAGTTAAAATTCTCTGCTGTGGGGGACATTCTTTTCGTTTTCCTTCTACTTCGGTTGCCGCCCCTTCTTCAATTCCTTGTCTGGTTCTTTTTACCAATGGCATTAACTTTTGTAAACTCAGTCAGATGGGTTTAATGGTGAGATTTAAACTCCTGAGTGCCTCCTTGCTGGTTGTCAAGCTCCTCAGTGAGGCCTAGGAGATGCTTTATCATCTTAACAGCCATCCTGAGGTACATGTAATTCCAAGCCCACACCATGTGGTTTCACACCGTCAAGCCTTTGTAAATGCTGATCCTTTTCGGCCTGGAATGCCCTTCCTGTCTTGTCCACCAAGCAGTCTCCTAGTTGTCCTTCAAGACCCTGTTCATTTACCTCACTGGCCTGTATGTATCAAGTGCTGACTAGGTGCTAGTCACTGTTCTAGGCACTGGAGAGAAAGTGGAGAACAAGCCAGCTACGTCCCTGACCTTGTGGATCTCATTGTCCAGTCAGAAAGACAGACAACAAACAAGGGGACCAAAAAATACTTGATTATAAACTGTGATGAGTGATATGACAGAACCAAGGAGGGGTAGAGGATTACAAGGTAGTCAGGGAAGGCCTCTGGGAGGAGGTGACATCACAGCAAAGACCTGAGGTTGGCAGGAGGCGGCCACGTGAAAAGCTGGGAGAAGAAACAGCAAATGCAAAGGCCCTGAGGTGGGAATGAGTCTGGAATTTTGAAGCAGCTACAAAGAGCCATGTGGCTAGAGCAGAGTGCACACAGGGAAAGTGATGGATGATGTGAGGGAAGTAATAGGAGTTAGATCATGCAGGGCCTTCTGCAGGGCTATGGAGAGGAGTTTGGATTTAATTTGGAATTCTTTGGGGAACCATGGAAAGGGGTGAGGAGGGAAGTGACATAATGGACCTCCAGGAAAAGCCTGAGCCACATTTAGAGAAAGTGTCAGTGTATATTAAACTCCTACGCATCCTTCAAAATCCTGCTCCAGTCACCCTTCTGTAGGGCTTTCCTGATGCTCTAGCCGAAGCGCCTGCTCCTCCTCTGGTCTCCCCAAGCCCCAGTACACCCCTCTGCCCCCATCCTGATTACTGGGGGCCAGGATATCTATGCCCGTGACTAGACATGGAGGGGGCGTTGATGAGCATTCGATGTCTCATGCCGTGTACTCCACTTCTTCTGGCTTCACCAGGACTCTGAAGCAGAAGATCTGGCCAGGCATCCCGAGCCCCGAGAGTGAGTTTGAGGGCCTCTTCACCACTCACAAGGGTAACTTCCAGGTAGGTGGCCTGGTTGTCCCCTTGGGACCTGGGGCTTTTGGCTAAACCCCCAAGTCTCTGAGCAGGCTGGTGCTGTTCCCACAGCTGTGGCTGTACCAGAATGATGACTGTCTGTGGTGGAACCCCTGCACTCCCTTCGTGGAGGACCCACCCGCCCCCCTGGAAGTCCTCTCTGAGCGCTGCTGGGGGGTGACACAGGCAATAGAGCCAGGCGCAGAAGACGAGGGGCCCCTGCTGGAGCCAGTGGGCAGTGAGCAGGCCCGGGACACCTACCTGGTGCTGGACAAGTGGTTGCTGCCTCAGAGCCCGCCCAGTGGGGCCCTCCCAGGGCCCGGTGGCAGTGTGGACACAGCAGCCATGGATGAGGGCTCGGAAGCTTCCTCCTGCTCATCTGCCTTGGCCCTAAAGCCCAGGCCAGAAGGGGCCTCGGCTGCAAGCTTCGAGTATACCATCCTGGACCCCAGCTCCCAGCTCTTGCGCCCACGGGCACTTCCCCTGGCGCTGCCCCCCACCCCACCCCACCTTAAGTACTTGTACCTTGTGGTATCTGACTCCGGGATCTCAACTGACTACAGCTCTGGAGACTCCCAGGGGACCCCAGGGGGTTCATCTGATGGCCCCTACTCTAATCCTTACGAGAACAGCCTTGTCCCGGCCCCCGAGCCTCTACCCCCCAGTTATGTGGCCTGCTCCTAAGACCCCAGTCCACAGCTGCTTGGGGACTTAGCATGGCTCAGCACCCAAGTGCCCGTCCAGACCCAAGACTTGTCGGCAGGGTGGACTAAGCCTTCCTCAGGGCTAAAGACACTGCTGACGTCAGCTTTCTGCCCAATCCATCTGGCTCAGAAGTCAGAGCTTCCCAGTATTTTGAAACAGCATATGTATATAAAGATATATATATATATCTTTTCTATCATCCCTTTTCTAAATAGCCATCCTTCCCTGGGCTCAGGCCACAGTAAAAGTCTTTGAGCTTGTCTGAAATTCTAGACCTGGCAACCTGAATAACCATCATAATAAAATGAATTATTCACTATAATTTACGCTAGCTGCCGTAACAAACAACCTGAAATCTTAGTGGCTTAGCACACTAAATAGTTTCTCTCGACTCAGTTCAAACAGGTAGGCTACCATCCTGGGGATGAGTCAGAGGTCTAGGCTCTTTTTTCTGTGGCTTTACCATCCCCAAGGGCCTCCCTGGGTCATTAGATGGGTCCTCTGCATGCTGCCAGACAACCAGTAAGGAGAGACTGCAGAAGATTCCTGGGCCATTTTAAGGACCTGGCCTGGATACCCGTTGCCGTTGAGTCGATTCCAACTCATAGCGACCCTACAGGACAGAGCAGAACTGACCCATAGAGTTTCCAACCAGCGCTGGTGGATTCGAACTGCCAACCTTTTGGTTAGCAGCCGTAGCTCTTAACCCACACGTCACCAGGGTTTCTGTCTTGGAAGTGGTCTACATATCTTCTCATATTCCATTGGACAGAAAGTCACATGATGCCAGCCAGAAACACGGAAGGCTGGGAAAAGTAGTTTAGCTATGTGCCCAGACAGAGGAAAGCTATTTAGTGAGCCTCTAGCTAGTCTTTGCCACAAATACTAACAATAATAATTCAATGGGCCTTATTCTTCTGAATCAGGCCCTGTTCTCAGAAAGCATTCTGGTGACACCAACTGTTGGTGAGGATGTGGCTCTGGGGAGTTCTGGTTTAACCACTTTGAAAACAGTTTGGCATAAGCTAGGAAAGCTGAACACATACCTTCTGCTCCAGCAATTCCACTTCTAGGTATATACCCTGAAAACTCACACACATACACCAGGACGTATGCGAGAACGTTCATAGCAGCGAATGAAATAAAAAACGTGGCCAAATCTTAGTAACAATTTTGAGTGGGAAAAGAAGGAAGTTTCAGATTACATTTAATACAAAATCCTTTTTATAAAATTTAAGACAAACAAAACTAAATATGTGGATTGGGCATGACATACACATGATAATACTATTTTTAAAAGAGAAAAGGCACTTTGCATTGTTTAGGTCTTTGAATCTGCACAACATGTCCCTGAGGTAAGTATTCCAACCCCCATCTTATAAATGGGCAACTGAGGCATAGGAAGGTTGTCACACACCAAAGCTCAGGGCTGGCCTCCAGAGCTTGTGCCCTTATCGAAGCTACGATCACCCACCTCAGTGGACAAGGGGGTGATCATCATCTCTCCATCTGGTTGGAAAGCTACCAACCACTCTGTTCTGGGGCCCAGCCCGCCTGGCTCCAGGCAGGCCCGAAGGCAGCGCTGTCCTGGACCTGGTGCATCTCGCTGCAGCCAGCAGCAGGCAGGGAAATACCGGTGGAGCAGTGCCAGCTGCAGGGCGTCTCCACTGTCTGCCTCCTCCTGGGCCTGGAGGGCTACCATGAGTCCACAGCCCCTCCCTGGCCCAGCCCGGTGGCTGAAGTGGGCAGCAGTGTCCAGAAGCAGGGCAGCCAGGTGGGCAGCTTCATGGGGCCCCTGGTGTTCTGATAGGTACTCCTCCAAGGAGTCGAGGAGCAGGAGGGCAGGGGCTGGCAACTGGGCTTCATGCGCAGAGCATAGGAGCTGGAAAAGCTCCCGGGTAGAGGGTGGGTACTGGAAGCGGATCTTCTAGCGGAAGGAAAAGAAAAGGCCAGATTCAGCACCAGAGACCCAGAATCCCAGCTATGGTAGCCCTGCTTGCTTGCATACTTCCCTGGACGGGTTTCTGCCTCCCCAGATAGATGTTTCTAAGGTGAGGCAGCTTAGACCGGCCAAATAATCTTCAATTCGCCCCTCTTTTTCCAGTACTCATCACTATCCACTAATACTTGAGAGCAAGACGTGTCTTCTGCCACATCTCTAGGGGAACCTTTCAATGGAAAATCTGCCCCTAGCGTCTCTTCGTCTTGCCCCATCCTTGACTCCCAATTCCATTAACTCCACCCAAGCCTAGCCCTGCCCGCTACTCGCTCCTGACTCCACCCCTTGGGCACCACCTCTCGATAACTCCGCCTCATCATTGAACGGTTCCACAAGGTCCCGCCACTCGGTCATTCTTGACTCCGCCCCACCATGGGCGCGCCCTTCCTCCGTACCCACCATTGGCCTGCCTACCTGTCACTCAGTCCTCCAATGGCCAATCACCTCTGGTCCCGCCCCACAATTACCTGGAGCCGCAGGGGGTCCAGCGCAGCCTCTGTCCGAAGGGGCAGGCTTTGCAGAGGTTTCCGTGCAAGGAAAAGGACGGGGCCTCGGCCCTCCCCCGCCACCTCCAAGGCTGCCGCGAACAGCAGTGCTGTCTTCCCGGAGCCTGGGCCGCCGAGCAGCAGCAAAGGTGGCCCGGCCTCGGCCACGTTCTCTTCCGCGGGCCCGGCCGCGCAGCCCGCGATCAGCACTCGCCTCAACGTCTCCGCCATTCGCAACGTGACTCTATCCAATCGGCTGCCCGTTCCGGCCTTAATCCCGCCGAAGCCGAGGCCTCATTGGTTACAGTACACTTAGCGTTTCCGTTGGTCTGTGGGGTTGTCCATCAAAATTAGATTGGCCTGTGCCTAGCTCCTCCCCTGGCGAAGGGGCAAGCAACCTAGTTTGAGGGAAGAGGAATGGGCCCATTTGGAAGAGGTCAGATTCTTCCTTGGGGGAGTCTGCTGAGGGAAGCAGCACGAATACAATTATTGTGAGATAATCGGCTAATTACAGGAAGCCTAGCTGTGCAGTGGTTAAAGCACTCGGCTACCAACGGAAAGGTTGGCGGTTTGAACCCACCAGCTGCTCAGCGAGAATAAGATGTGGCAGTCGGTTTCCGTAAAGATTTCAGCGTTGGATACCCTATGGGGCAGTTTTACTCTGTTCTGTAGGGTCGCTGTCTCATAGCGACTCAGCGACCCTACAGGACAGAGTAGAACTGCCGACATTTTGGTTAGCAGCCCAGCTCTTAACCACTGCACCACTGGGGCTCCATGGGTCGGAATCAGCTCGACAGCAACGGGTTTGATTTTTTGGTTATAGGGTCGGTATGAGTCGGAGTCAACTCCACGGCAGTGGGTTTGGTTTTTTGGTTTGTAATCAGACAAATATAAGGGTTCCGAGTTGTCGGGAGCAGGCCCAAATCACTGACACATTTACTTAAAAAGTCTCGTAGCCTCAGTTTGCTCACCTATAAAATGGGCTAATGATATCTCAGAGGAATATTGTGATGAGCACGTGTCCGTGTGTTTCTGCAGATGTCACCCAATGACAACTGAGAGGTAGAAAGATGAACTGTATGCAATGAAATCTGGAGGTGGGCTGAGGTGGGACAGACATGAAGTATGACCTGTGGGCTTGTGTTCTCTCTTTGCACCTGTGCACAGGCACGAGTGTGTGTCCTGGGGTTGCAGGATCAGGGACGTTCATATGCAAAACAGCAGCAGCCTTCTCTGAGGGTCTCTGAGAAGAGAGGTCTCAACTGGTTTCCTCACTGGCCTGGGGGATTCTTGGGTCCTACTTAGGGTACAATATCCTTTGCCAACATCGTAATTCAAAGTTATCGTTTCATCTTTGGTCTTCCTTATTCATTTTCCAGCTTTCGCATGTAGATGTCTTGAAACAAGAACAGCCAGAATGCTCCTTGGAAGTGAGTATGGTGAGACTTCATCTCATGTACTTTGGACATGTTATCAGGAAGATCCAGTCCCTGGAGAAGGGAATCATGCTTGGTAAGGTAGAGGGTCAGGGAAAAAGAGGAAGACCCTCAACGAGATGGCGTGACACTGTGGCTGCAGCAATGGGCTCAAACATAGCAACTAATGTGAGGATGGTACGGCACTGGGCAGTGTTTTGTTCTGTTGTACATAAGGTCACTATGAGTCAGAACCAACTCAGTGGCACCTAACAACAGCAGCACCACTTAGGGTACAGGGGAAGTCGGGGCCATAGGGCAAAGAAGGGGGCAGGAGAGACAAAGAGACAGGTTGGGGGACTGAGGGAGAGACATGGCAGAGAACTTGTTTGTTTTGTTCACTTCTGTATTGCCAGAGCCCAGAACAGTGCCTAACACATCATAGGTCCTCAGCATATGCTCATTAAATGAATGAAGAAAGGAAGGCAGGCAGAGTTGATGAGACACTGGGAGAGACAGAGAAACAGGTGAGTGATCAAGTGATCACTGGCTGGGTCTCCTCACCCAGACTTCCCCCAGAGCTGCCATGCACGCCTGCGTTGCCCTGGCAACTCTGTCTCCCAGTAACTTCAAAGTGGTCCTGTTGCCAGGAGACCCAGGGTCAGGGCGGAACTGCGATTTCCTAGGCTTTCTCTCTCTCTCTCTGGACCCAGAAAACAGCTCCACAACATTCCCAGTACACCCACGCACACAGCTGGGCACCCCCCTACACCTCTACGCACACATGCACACACACTCCATGGCATCTCTGCATATATTCTGCTTCTAAAATCATCATCACCAACAGCCCTACCCTTTTCAGTCCATCCCCTTACCCGCATACTGACACAAAACATCCCCTACACACTGTCTCCCACATTCACGTCCCCACACCCTCTCCCTCACACAAACACACACCAGAACACACTCTGATACAAGTATGCCATCACACACACATACATTCCCTCTCAGCTGATGTGCTCACAGCCCTTTCTACACGTACACTCTAAGGCACACTGCTACATGACCCTGTCAAACATACCATCTCAGTCCCCCAAACACACCAAACACACAGGCACCCAGGAGTGACAGTCAGATCACACAGTCCCTCACAGCTATGTTCATGGGAGGATGCTGAACACAACCCCACCACAGGCCCCACCTTTGCACCTGATGTTCCCTTGCCCGGAACAAAGAGTTTTCAGATATCCCTGTGGCTTATTTTTTTTCACTCCATTCAAGTTTTTGCTCACATGTCACCTACTCAGAGAGACTTTCCCTGACCACCTGTCTGAAATTACATGCCCATCACTCTTTACCTGCTTATCTAGCTTTACATCTGTGTAAATAACTTACCACCTCCCACGTTGCATATTTATTTCATCATCTCTCATCTCACTAGAATGTCGGCTCCACAAGGGGAGGGATTGTTGTCTATTTTGTTCACCACTGGGTCCTAGAAAAGCATTTGGCACACAGTAACCAAACCAAACCACACCTGTTACTGTCAAGTTGATTCCAACTCATAGCAACCCTATGAGACAGGGTATGGACTGCCACATCTTTCTCCTGCAGAGCAGCTGGTGGATTCGAACTGCTGAACTTTCAGTTAGCAGCTGAGTGCTTTAACCACTGTTCTACCAGGGCCCCTTTGGCACACAGTAGGTGCTCATAAATGTAGGCTGAGTGAGTACATTCGGCAGACATGCGGACTTTGACATATCTCTCATGCACACAATTGCTCTTACAAGCATGCTGATCATGGAGGGTGCCCTGGGGGAGTATAGCTGCCTATGGGCAGGACTTGGCTGAGGGGCTGGCCTGGGGCTGGATCAAGGGGCAGGGTGTAGGGAAGTGGGTGGCTCAGGGGCAGTCTGTCCCACTCCCTAGCTTATCAGCATACTCAAGTGATTAATTTATTCATTTAAGAGACATTTATTGAGCATCTACTGTGTACCAGACCCTGTTCTAGGCACTGGGGACACAGCAGTGAACAGATAGCAGAGAAAATATCTGCCTAGTGGAGCTGACATTCTAGTGAGGGAGACAGACAGTGAGTGACCACTAAGTATACTGAGGAATTTAAGCAGTGCAAGAGCAGATGACAAGTGTATGCGAAAAAGAAAAAAATGCACAGGGGAGGGAAGTTGGAAGGACCCGTTGTTTGTTTTGTTCTACAACTTTGAATTGGGTGGTCAGGGAAGGCCCACTGAGAAGGCAACATTAGAAAAGGCTTGAAAGAGGTGAGGGAATGATCCACACAGCTATGTGGGGGGAGAGCATTCCAGGCCCTGAGGCATTGGGAAAACTTTGGCTTTTACTTGGAGTGTCATGAGGAGCCATCAGAGAGTTTTGAGCAGAGTAGAGTCGTGATCTGACTTACATTTTAAATCAGAACTCAGTTTTGGTTGAGTTGAGTTTGAGATGCTCTGAGACCCACAGGGCACGTCGAGTAGGCTTTTGAATAAGCAAGTACAGTCTGTGCTTTCTACCTAAGATGATCTGTCCTGAAATGGGAATGGGGGCAAGGCCAGGGACGCCGTCCCCACCCTACTTAGCAGGTCCAGACACCTCCTTGTGTCCTCCAGTTCCCCACTCTGCCTTTTTTACCCTTTCTCCGCTTGTGCTCAGCATCAGCACCATGGACAGCCCCACCTAGGCCTACTGGTGGCGCTGTCCACTGTGCTGAGGCCTTGCTTTTTTTTCTGGCCCGAGTGGAGGCTGCTGTCCGGCAGGAAAGACCACGGGTCTCAGGGGTGCGAGCCCTGGAAGCAAAAGCCTTGGTGGGTTAAGCAGGGGTCTCCATGGTCCTGTCCCTCCTCTGTCTCCAGCCCACTCATGGCTCCCATCTCATTCATCCACAGTCAACTCTGCCTCCTCCCTGATCCCTCACTCTCTCTCCCCTTTGCTCACTCCACTCCAGCCACACTGGCCTCCTCACTGTACCTTGAACATAGCAGGCACATTTCTACCTCAAGACCTTTGCACTTATTGTTCCCTCAGCCTCGGACACTCTCCCCCAGATATCTATCTGCATGCCTCCCTCCCTCACCTCCTTCAGGTCTCAGCTCCAATGGCTTCTCCTCAGAGAGAACTTCCCTGACTATCCGCTTTAAATCAAAAACCATGTCCCCATCCCACAATTGTCCCATCTTCTTTCCTAGACTGAGTGTTCTCGTTGTAACATCGATATCTAACATATCAGAGATCCCAATCCCTTAGATAAGTCCTTGAATCTACAGATTGGAATTCGATTTTTTTTTTTTTTCCAAAAGGTTAAAACCCATTGCCGTTGAGTCAATTCTGACTCGTAGCAACTCTATAGGACAGAGTAGAACTGCCCCACAGGGTTTCCAAGGCTATAATCTTTATGGGAACAGACTGCTACATCTTTCTCCCATGCAGCAGCTGGTGGGTTGGAACTGTCAACCTTTTGGTTGGTAGCCGAGCACTTTAACCACTGTGCAACCAGGGCTCTTTTTTCAAAAAGTAACATGGTGCAAATACTGCATGTTGCATATAACCCCAAGTGGGGCCTGTGGCAACAGGCCAAAATCAAACAATTTATCTGCAGTGAAACATAAGAACATTCACATCAAGTGAAAGAAAGAAAAGCTCTATATAACCTTGTGTCAGATCAGATCAGGTTTTGCCACAAATGAGTATGAAGAAAATGTTGGCTTTCAGAACTTCTGGAAATTTGGACTGGTGGATTTGTTTGTAGTTTATTTCTCTTATTGTCTCTCGTGTATTAGAATGTGAGCTCCTGTACCTAAACAGCACTTGGCACACAGCAGACACTCCATAAGTGTTTAATGAATGAATGTGGGGGAGGGGAGGAAAGCCGACTGGCCCTTTCTGGTTCCTAGATGATTCTGTGCCCCGAATGGCCTATCTGAAGACCCTCAGACCAACAGTGGGGTCTGTGGCTCCCTTGCCCCCACCCTTCCCAGCCTCAGCTGAGTCCTTGGAGTTGGGGCTCAGCACACCTCACAATCAATCAGCACTTCTGCTCTCATCCATGTAGCTAGGGGTCTTGGCTTGGTTCCTAGTGCCCCTCAGCATCCCCCTTCCTTGTAAGTACCCCCAGCTCTCCTCGGTCTATTCCCTGTGCCTTCCATGCCCTGGCTGCAGTCAGACATGGGCCAGCTGCTCTGGGGAGCACAGGCATGTGAGGTCTCTCCACATTTGACAGAGGAGGAAACAAGGGCACAGAGAGGTTAGCTGTCCTGAAGCCTCACAGCCAGGAAATGGCGTAGCCAGGATTTCAACCCGAGTCGCTGGCCCCACAGCCTGACACTGCCTCTCCACAATCGCCCTCAGACACACCGTGAAGATACACCCACACCCAGCCTCACTGACACCTAGTCCCATGGTTAAAGTCCTCCATACCCCACCACGTGGAGGAGGAAGGCAGGTGGCCAAAACTGTGTTATAAACAGGTCTTTATTAAAGATGAGAAGCCAGATCTTTATTAAAGATGAGGAGGGGGCAGGAGAGGGGGGCAGTGTCTCCTCTGCCCACTGCCTTTGGCTGCCCAGGGCGGGTGAGCCCTCCCTGTTCCACCCATGCCCCCATAATGGCACATCTGCATGAGGCTGGGGCATGGGAGGCAGTGTGCAGAACAGGGATGAGTTCTAAGAATAAGTCTTTTCCCACAGCCCTAATAAATAACAGAGGGTTTGGGATGACTTGGGCATAGGCAAGGGGAGACATGGCACCGTGAACCCCAAAACCTCTGAACTGGGGCAAGCCCCATATAAATAAGGAATTAGGAGGGACTGGGTGAAAGGTTGTACATGGAGGGGCTGAGAGGGGAAGGGGTCCCCAAGGACCCTGCCCTGGGGGAGCCTGCCCCCACCCTCTGGCTGGACCCTGTGATTCTGAGGAGAGAGGACCCAATGACAAAGGATTGCCCCATCTCTCTCCTTTCCTTTGCACATGCTTAGACATGGGCAGTCCCCCATTGGCTGCAATCATACCCACCCACCCTAGAAATTCTGAAAACCAAGCGTTCCTATTGGCTGTTCAGACACTGACTACCGGTTGGAGTTGCCCTCCTGCTCGAGGATTCTAAGATGTGAGGGGGAAGCTCCCATTGGCTGGAGTGAACTCCCTTTGTTTAGAATTCTCCCAACTGGTGGCTCCCAGGGCTAGACAGGCTGTAGCCCTTAAAAGGGCAATCCCAGGGACAAGACCCACCTCCCAGTTACATCCACTTAGACTTCCCAGAGGATCTCCCAGACGTCCTTCCTGCCATCCTCTGGCATATGGGCCTGGCTCGTTTGGGGGCAGAGGGCTTTGGCACTCACAGGGCACAAACTGGCACACAAACTCGTGGCAGGGAAGACTTGGGGGCTGGGCAGATTCAGGGTGGGTGATCGGGCCTCACAGCAGGTGGTCGCGGCTGGCAAAAAGGTAAGGGCTGAAGTTGTCCCGGTGGAAGGGGGAGGAATAGAGTCCACTGAGGGTGTACAGGTCCCGCAGGAGGGGCGTGGGCAGCAGCAGCTTCCGGCCACGCCCACCACCCCCGCCCGGCCCCCCAGGCCCGGGAGAGGAGGGCGAGGGGCCCTGGCCGGGGGTCGGTGCTGGCAGGGGCAGGGGCAACGGCAGGGGCGTGGGCTCAGACCTCAGTCGAGGGCGGGGAACGCGGGGCGACGAACACATGGCTGGGGCTCTGGAGGACACGCAGCTGGGGATCAGGTGGCCACGGCGGGTGAAGTTCTGCGGCTCTGAGGGTCAGGAGTCAGAGGTCAGGGGGTCCAGAAAGCTTGGGAGGGGGCCATGAGGGCATGGGCAAGACCTCTGCAGCAGTACCGCCCACTTGGAAGCCCCCTCCACTTGTCCCCCACTCCCCCCACACTCACTGGATGGGGTGAGCCGTGCCGGTGTCGAATGCGGCCTACAGGTTTGGGGTTCCTGAGACAAAGAGCCAGAGGGAAGAGGCTAGCAGGCCCCCTGGGCCCTGCTGGCCACGGCACGAGGGGCTCACCAGGCGGAGAGCCCCATGGAAAAGACCAGACTTCTCAGGATGTGTCTCCTCAGGACGAGAGGGGGTATAACCTCCCGTCGCAGGGCTTATGTCCACAGAGACCTGCGATCCCTCCGCCTCCCCATGGCTCTGAGATGCCCACCTCTTGCCTGACTCCCTGCACCCATGGTGTCCCTCCACCCACCACCCTCTCCAGCCGGGAACAGTCCCCGGCCCCCCTTACCTGGGCCACACTTAACTTTTCGAGGGGGCTGTCCATGGTGGGGGCTTGGCCCAGGTTCTCCCAAGGGGAGAGCCTTCGGCCAGAGGGCAGCCGACTCTGGAAGTTGTGGACGACACAGGTAACCTGGGGCAGAGGGAGAAGGCCGTGTTGGGGCCAAGGCCAATCAGGTAGGAGTTATGTAAATACCACCCCCATTTTGCAGATAAGAAAACTGAGGCTGGGGTTTTCAAAAATAGCTAAGACTTTTATGGCACTTAGTATGTGCCAGGCGCTGTTCTTTCAACCTTCTAAGAGGTAGGTACTATTATTATTCTACAGGGCCAGGAGCAGGGTGAGATGAGTGAGACCAAGTTGTGCCAAGGGCAGGATTGGATCCCGTCTTTATTTAAAATTTTGATGTTTTCTTCATTGTGATTTCTGGCATTGATTTTAATGTTTGAAAATATTTTGTTGAATATTATTTATCTTGATTACCAAGTGTTTTCATGCTAAAGGTGAATGCCTCACTCACCTCATCCTTGTTCCATCCTGTCATCCTATTTCACAGATGAGAACATGCAGGCACAATAATGTTAAGGGACTCGCCCAGGGCCACACAGGGTCCACATCCTCAACCATCATGCGATCCTGCCTCTTGGGTCAGGGAGTTGAGGGGGCTCCTGAGCCAGGGTGAGTGAGGAGGGGACTCACCAGGAAGGTGGCAATGGCTGCCCCGGTTAGAAAGCCAGCCAGCACGTCGGACCAGTGGTTCCGGTACTCTGCCACGCGGACCACGCCCACCAGGAAGGCAGGGCACAGCAGGGCCAGGCAGAGCGAGGGCTTGACTAGGCGGGAGCCCTTCACTCGGAACACGAGAGTCACATACATCTGCAGGGACAGGGATGGGTCAGGGGGTTCGTGCTCTTGGAGGCACAGTCACCAAACCCAAGTGGACACCGCCTTCTGGGCTACGGGGTGTGGCCAGCGCCCCAAATGTCTTCATGGGGCTGGAGGGCATGGCCAGGGCCTCCAGCTAACAGAGCCACGGGGGACAAAAGTTCAGGGGGTTGTCTTCTGGGGACTGAATCACAGAAGGGGAAGGACGTTTGCTGAGTTAGGATGTGGCCACAGACACCAGAGGGTTAAGTCAGAGCCAAAGGGGGCAGGTCCAGGAGCTCCAGGAGGTGGGGTCACTAAGCCCCTGGGCTAGGAGCGTCCAGGTGACAGAAAAAGGAGTCAAAGCAACAGGGGACCTGTGCAACCAGGGAAAACAGGGGACAGAGTCAGAAAGTTCTAGCACGGTCAAGAGAGTCAAGGGGGTGGCCAGAACAACAAGGGTGGGGTCAAGGCCCTGGGAGGGAGAGCAAGGGCTCCAGGGATGCAGCGTCAAAAGCCCACCTGCCCATTATCCCAGCCAATATCCAGGACCTGTAGTATCATGAGGGCACGGCTAGACTCTGGGAGGTGGAGACTCTCCTGTTCACCCACAGGGCGGAGCCAATAGCCTTTCTCGGGCGTGGTATTACTATGTCAGGGGCGTGGCCAGATGCCAAGGGACGCAGCCCAGAATTCAGCAACAGACTCAGAATGGGGTGTGTGGCCAGGACCCGAGGGGAGGAGTTAGAATCTACAGGAGGGCAGACTCCGCCCTGGGAGTGGTGTCACAGCGCCGGGGCATGGCCTCCCTGCAGGAATCAAAGGCTCCAGCCCTAGTGGCCTTGGGTGCTGCAGCCCGCTGGCGCCCACCCCCCAGTCTGAGCCCGGCAGCACCTGAGGCTCACCGCGGTGTAGGTGACTGCGTAGGCGCAGAGGGCCGCGTCCTTGCAGGGGAAGGCTCGGCGCGCGGCGGCCACGAGGCTGGGGCTGCCGGCGCAAGCACCCTGGTCAGTGACGAAGCGGTCCGGCCCTGGCCGGTCAGGCGAGGGCGGTGGGCAGCCCAGGGCTGTGTAGTTTGGGCGGCAGACTGACAGAAAATGCGGCGTGGGGTTGCCGGTCACCACCTGCCCCGCGTTGGCGAAGATGGTCGTGGTGAAGAGGCCAAACGCGTAGACCCCTGGGGGGTGGAAGAGGGAGTCCTTGCCTGGGACCCCTTTTGGCTCACTGGGCCCGTCGTCTCCCTGTTCCTGTGACCACTGTTAAAGCATACGTGGGACCCCCCAACGCTGCTCCTCATTATAGCTAGGCCAGGGTCCCCTTTCCCCTTGGGACCACCATGATGGCACTCTGGGTTTCCTAGCCCTGGGACCCTCATTACAGTACATCTGGCTTCTGTCCCTCTGGGAGCACCACTGTATCCAGAGCGAGCTCCTCCCCCTAACCCCCCAATGCCAACACCATTGCATCAGGATTGGGCCACGCCCCTGTTCCTAGGACCACCCCAGTGGCATTTCTGGCGATCATGCACCCGCCTGGGACCACTAGTAAGTCTAAGCTGGATCTCCATTCCTCTACCCCATGGCCACCCATTATGGCTGGGACCCTATCGCCCTGCCCCAGGACCCCATTGTGTTGGCCTGAGCCTATGACCCCTTTTCTGCCTGACACTCCCCTTGTGACATTTTTGAGTCCTCCTCCTACAGTTGTCCTCCTGTCTGGACTAGGCCCCACCCATGGCCCTGGAACTCTATTATGTCTGGCCGGAGCACAAGTAAGTCCCTCTTGCCCCTGAAATCCCCATCATGGCAATCCTAGGCCCTCTTCCCTCTGGGATTATTATGGCTGAGCTGAGCCCTTATCCCTCTGTCTCTGCACCCCCTCATTACTATAGGGCTGACCCCTGGCTGCATCACTCACCTAGGAAGCGGACAAGCCTCCGCAGTGGGGGGCTGAAGCGGCAACAGGCCCCGGACACGATGGTGCTCTCCCCAATGATGGGGATAGCGGAGGGTGGTGCAGGGAAAAAGGCACGTGCCAGCTCCCCCAGCAGGATCTGTGGACAAGACCAAGGCGAGCTCTTCCTGGTCCTCTAACCCCATCCACATGGCCCTCCTGCCTCCTGTGAGGTCCTCCCTGCAGCCCAACCAAGCCCACCCCAAGGTCTCACCGTGAGGGTGGGCCCAGCAGTGACCAAGGCGTAGATGAGGGCAGGGGGCGCACGGCTGGCAGCCTCAGGCCCTGGGTAGGGCTTGGCATAGGTACTGTCATAGCAGAAAAATCCCTGGGTGTGCACGGGGAAGGTGTCCGTGAACTCCAGGCGGTAAGCAAGCAGGACCACAACACCCAGCAGCACCGACTGCCAGCCAGCCAGAGCGGGGAGACACAGGGAGAGAAGAGAGAGGGTCAGGGCCCGAGCTGAGACAAGGGAGACAAAGACACAGAAATGTAGAGAGACGGAGACAGAAGAGGGACAGAAAGTGGGAGATGGAGACAGAGATAAGGGAGAGAGAGGCATATCAAGGCTGAGGTAGAGAAAAAGGTATAGACTAATAGGGGCAAAGAGAGATGGGGAAGGGGGAGAGAGAAGGGTCAGGGCTTGGGAGAAACAAAGAAAGAGATGGAGACAGAGAGAGAGAGAGAGGATAAGATGAGGGAGAGAGTGTGGTCTGGGCTCAGACCAGAGAGAGAGAGAGAGAGATGAAGGGTGCGGTAGTGGAGGGACAGGCTGACAGGGAGAAAAAAATAGTAGTAATAGTAGCACCACAACAGCCCTAAGGAAGCCCTGGTGGTGCAGTGGTTAAGAGCTTGGCTGCTAACCGAAAGGTTGGCAGTTTGAATCCACCAACCATTCATTGGAAACCCTATGGAGCAGTTCAACTGTGTCCTCTGGGGTCACTATGAGTCGGAGTCAACTCGATGGCAGTGGGTTAACGGCCCTAAGAGAGAGGGTTATATTATGCCCATTTTACAGATGAGGAAACTGAAGCTCAGGAGAGTATGAGAGGAGCTCAGAGTTCTGAAGTAAGGAAAGGCAGAGCAGGATTGGAACCCAGCCCAAGTTCACCACCACTTCTCAAGAGAAGAGACAGGAAGGGAGATAGTGAGTCAGAGATCAGGGAGAGACAGGACTGGCACCAGGTAGATGGAAAAATAGGTACAGGCAGAGACCTGGCAAGGATGAGGGAGACTGAGGTTGAGAAGAGACATGGCAGAGACAGACAGGAAGGCAGGGGTGCCCCCCAGGAGGGGCTGGGCAGGGTTTCTGGGGGAGGATCGGGGTACTCACCTCCACGAAGACAAAGCAGGGAATGATGGAGAAACTCCTCTTCAGCTGAGGTCTCCCTCCCGCCATGGTGAAGGCCCAGCCTGCAAGGTGGGAAGGGGTGGGGCCGCCCAGGAGGGTCCCGGGAGTGGGTCACAGGGATCCTGGCCCCTCCCCCGAGTCTGGCTCCGCCTCCAGAGCCTTCTGGCTAGCCTCTGCATATCTAGTCCTGCCCCTGTTGGCCCTTGACCCTTCCCAGGGGAGACACTTGCCTCCCCTGCTAGCCCACTTTGCCTCTGGCCGGGACCTCAGAGGTTCTATAGTGGTCTCTCTACCCTACAGCCCACATAGAAGGTTCCGGTCCCACATCTTTGAGGAGGGACTCTCCCTCCACTACCCCCAATTGGGATCCCTCCCCCCTTGGCCTTTAGAAGGGACTCCTCCAGCTTTATGGGGATCCCTTCCCCAGAGCATTTAGAAGGGTTCCCAACTGCACCAGTTTTTAGGGGACCCCATCCTCTTCCCCCACATGCTTTACAGGGGATCCCATGCTCCATACTCCCCTTCTCTCAGCCCCTCCCCCATGACATCCACAGGGGCCACTCTCTCCTTCCCCATCTGTGTGTGTCTGGTGCTGGCTGATGGCCAGGCCCTCCTTCTCTCCCAGCTGCCTCTCCCTCTCTCCCTCCCACCCCTCCTCCCAGCCCCGTCTGCCTCCCTTTGTCTTGCGGGGGCTAGCCTTGTTCTGCCCCTCCCCCCAGCCTAACCTCAGTCCCCAGCGCTCCAGTCACACTGGCTTACACCCATTCTCCCAGCCAGACCTCACCTGTGAAAGCGTCCTATGGCTCCCCACAGGCCGCCGCCACGCCCACAGACTCACAGCCGCCCCTAGCGGCCAGCAGGGCAGAGATGGTCACCCCCATTGCACGGCTGCAGAAACTGAGGCCCAGGCAGGCGAAAGTCCGCACTCTAGGTCCAGTGCCCCATCCACGCAGCTCCCTATAGTGTGATATGCAGGGTGAGGGTCACCAGAGGCCCCAGATGCCCACCTGGGCACAATCCCCTCCCCTTCCCAGAGACACAACCACCCACAGCAGCAGCCCCAGAGTACACAGTTCAGCCACAGCATCCATCCCAAAGACAACAGACTCACATTCACACACACACCATGGTACAGCGTTCATCCATCCCACTGTGCTGATGGAGCACGCTGGGCTCCAGGGGCTGTGCTGGGTACCAGCCTTGTGAACAAGACAGGCCTGCTCATTCAGACAGGTGCCCAACACCCACAACACATGTAACTATACACACGCACACACACACGGCATGCACACAGCCTGTCACCGACACCCACATACACAGTCACAGGGACACACCAGGAAGCCCTCTACACACCTCACAGGCCCACATACAGCCCCACACAAGCCCTCAGTGCGCCAGGGTCAGGGATGTAGACTCAGGGCTGCCAACACACTTGAGAGTCACACCTCACACACAGTGGGGGTCACAGAACCAGTCATGGCATCACCCTCCCCAATCACAAGGCACTCAGTGACAGCCACATACATTAACTATTTCATATACACTGACAGTCATGAGAGACACAGTGCCATACACAACCACAGCCACATGGCCACACAAGGGCACATACGTGGACCATAACACAGACGCATTCACGGAGCCACATGGCAGCACGAGAAGGGTGCACATTCACAGACACACACTGGAACCCAACAACAGCGACACACACACCATCAGAACAGACAGCCACACATGACAGTCCTATGCACACAACCACACAGACACCAAAGTCAGCCGCACAGTCACAGCACTCACAGCCACACTGCCACTCTAGGGCAGCCACAACATCACAGCCACACACACCACCAGGGTGATACCCACGACGACCACACAGTGACAGTAGCAGGAGACACAGCCACACACACACACACAGCTACCGCAAAAGCCACACAATCACAGTCATACAACCATACACTGATTAAAAATGACAACCACACAATCACAGTTACCCTACAGCCACCCTCAGCACCGTCGCCCGGAGTCCCCTCCCCCAGCACAGTCCCTAAGCCCCAGCTCGCCGCCTTCCGTTGCCCTCTCCACGCTGGACCCGGAGGGATCGGACCCGCAGGAACCGAGGCCCCGGGTGGACAGACAGACCGAGGGTCGGAAGACCGCGAAAGGGGCTGCAGGGGGCGCCCCAAGCCCCTCTCCCTCACCAGGTCGAGGTAGCCGTCACCCGAGCCCCCGTTCCACCCAGCCAGCCCCGGCGCGGCGAGACTGACAGACCTGCGGCTGGCCCGGCGGGAAGAGGCAGCCGCTGCGGGCCCGGCCCGGCTGTGCCACGCAGGCTCAGCGCCCGAGCCTGGCAGAGGAGGGGCGGGGCCTACGGAATCTTCATTTGCATAACCCCGTGGGGCGGGGATTCACGACGTCTCATTAGCGTGATCCGGGGCGGGGCCTCAGGTGCTCTTGGGAAAGGGTTGTATTAGAACAAAGTTGGGAGGGGGATGAGGAATGACTCCGGGCAAGGCCTAATGGGAAGGAGGGCAGGGTCTCAGAGCGCGACCCTGGCCTGTACCCCACCCTCTCTGAGCCTCAGTTTTCCCACATGGGCAATGGGGGCAGCAGTCCAGATTCAGGGTCACCAGAGAGGAAGTGAGGTGCCAGTATGGAAGAGCCTGACTGGTGGACAGAGGGGCAGTGGCTGTCTGGCCACTCACATCTGGACAAACTGACCCCTGGCCTTGGTCCTATACTAAATCTGATCTCACGCTGTCCCCTGACCCTAGGCCCACACATCCTGAACAGTCCCTGGGGTCTCTGCACCCTCCCCAGCGCTGAGGAGCAAATGGAGAGGTGGGGGTCAAGCCCAGGCACAGGAAACAGCAGGAGAAACAGTCCAGGGGTGGAGGAGGGTCTCAGCTAGTTTATTTTCTCTCTGGAACGGCCTTCTGGGGGAGCAGACCCAGCTGCTCAGGCTGTGGAGACAGAAGGTGGGTCAGGGCACGCCCTGCTTCAGGGGACTCCAGGGTTGAGGGTCAGGAACCAGATGCCCAGGTCTGGGGCTGAGGCAGTCCCGAAGGTTCATTCTGTGGGATTCCAGGGCAGGCCAGGAGAGGAATGGGTGGGGTGGGGCCAGAGAGAATCTGTACCCGACTGGAAGGTGCGGCTCTTGCTCAAAGATGGCTGGGAAGGGCTGTGGTCCGAGTCCGATTCTGAGTCCCAGGAGGGGGGTGGAGGGCTCAAGCACTGGTGCCCCTTGTGGCCTGCGAGAGGGACAGGTGCGATTCTGGCCACTCATCTACGAACCCTGAATGTGACCCTCGAGAACCCTCTGAAAATGAGCCCAGTGTCCTCTGATGTTATACCTTAGACATCCTTGAATGTGACCTGGCATGACACCAAATTATGACTTCAATGACCCTTAAGTTTTAGCCCAGTGAGCCTTAAAAATGGTCCCAGTGACCCTGAACGTGACCTCTGGAGGAAACCCCCAGTGACTCCTTAATGTGACCCCAGAACATTACTTAATATGACCACAGAATAAGATCCTCCAAATGTAACCCCCAAATATGACCTCTGAACATGCCTCCCATGTGTGAAGCTGGAGAGTGAGCCCCCTCACCCCTGAGGCTGGAAGCCTTATGGCGGCCCCCTGAGGACATGGTGAGGCCATCGATGGAGTTCTGCAGCAAGTGCACGGCAGACCTGCGGGGAGAAGAGGAGCTGGGGGCCCTGGGGGACTACGCAGTGCTCACGGTGGGGGCAGTGGCAGGGCTGGGGCTGGAAGGGCTGTGGTAGGAGCAAGGACAGAGGTGGGTCTCAGAAGGAGAGGGAAGTCTGGACTCAGGGCTCCAGGTTCTAGTGGTCGCTGCTTGATCTCTTTGGGAGGTGGGTCAGATGAGGGTCAGGTCAAGCTGGGGACTGGGCATCACCATATGTCACTCAGCTCCTTCTGGAGGTCGTCCTTCCAGGAGCCACTGCCTCTTGGCGTCTCCTCAGTGTCCATCCAGGTCTCATATCTCTGTTGCTTCATCTTGGTCAGGACCTGGGGCCAGAGGATGAGAGAACAACAAAAACAATAATGATGATGGTGAAAGGTTCACCTGTTGCCATCGAGTTGATTCCGACTCACAGCGACCCTATAGGCCAAAGTAGAACCAGGCCTTTCCTCTGAGGTGCCTTTGGATGGATATGAACCTCCAACCTTTCAGTTAGCAGCTAAGTAGGTGAACCATTTTCCCCACCCAGGGACTCCTTCAAAGTGCTTGCTGTTGCTGTTGTTAGTTGTCATGAAGTTGAGTGTAAGCAGAGAACACCAGAAAGATGGTGACCTGTGTTTTATTGACTATGCAAGGGTATTAGACTATGTGGATTATAGCAAACTATGGATAACAGTGCAAAGAATGGAATTTCAGAACACTTAATTCATGTGCTCATAAGGAACCTGTACACAGACCAAAAGGCAGTCATTCGAACAGAACAAGGGGATACTGCGTGGTTTAAAATCAGGAAAGGTGTGCGTCGGGGTTGTATCATTTCACCATACTTATTCAATCTGTATGCTGAGTGAATAATACAAGAAACTGGACTATATGAAGAAGAACGTGGCATCAGGATTGGAGGAAGACTCATTAACAACCTGCTATATGCAGATGATACAACCTTGCTTGCTGAAAAGTGAAGAGGACTTGAAGCACTTACTGATGAAGATCAAAGACCACAGCCTTCGGTATGGATTACAGCTCAAAATGAAGAAAACAAAAATCTTCACAACTGGAACAATGAGCAACATCATGATAAATGGAGAAAAGATCGAAGTTATCAAGGATTTCATTTTACTTGGATCCACAATCAACGCCCATGGAAGCAGCCGTCAAGAACTCAAACGACATAGTGCATTGGGCAAATCTGCTGCAAAAGCCCTCTTTAAAGTGTTAAAAAGCAAAGATGCCACCTTGAGGACGAAGATGCACCTGGCCCAAGCCACGGTATTTTCAATTACCTCGTAGGCATGCGAAAGCTAGAAAATGAATAAGGAAGACCAAAGAAGAATTGATGCATTTGAATTATGGTGTTGGTGAAGAATACTGAATATATCATGGACTGCCAGAAGAACGAACAAATCTGTCTGGGAAGAAGAAACGCCAGAATGTTCCCTAGAAGCAAGGATGGTGAGACTTCGTCTCCCGTAATTTGGACATGTTATCAAGAGGGACCAGGCCCTGGAGAAGAACATCATGCTTGGTAAAGTAGAGGGACAGTGAAAAAGAGGAAGACCCTCAACGAGATGAACTGACACAGTGGCTGGAACAATGGGCTCAAGCATAACAACGATTGTGAGGATGGCACAGGACCAGCCAGTGTGTCGTTCTGTTGTATACAGGGTCGCTATGAGTTGGAACTGACTTGATGGCACCTAACAACAACTGAGTGCTTAGTGATCAGGTAGAGATGAGTAATTATTATACTCATCATACATATGAGGAACCCGAGGCCCAGAGAGAGGAAATGAGTTGCCTAAGGCTAGATAGCAGCAAGTTACAGACCTAGGATTTGAACCTAGGCCTTCTGGTTCTAGTCTGATGGTGGATGCCAGCAGAGACCCTCATGCCCCTACCTCAAGTGTCCCTGGCCTTTCCTCTCACCTTGCGGCACTTCACCTGTGTCTTCTGCATCTTCTGGATGTTCACCAGGTTCTCTGTGATCTCCTCCTCCTGAGCCTCTGTGGGGGAAGGGACTCAGGGGGACTGGGGCTGCAGAAGGACCCCACCTCCTGGCTGGACCTCTGGGCACTCACGGAGCTTCTGGTAGATGAATGTCACCTCCTCTCGAACCAGTTCCAGCTCCTCCCACAGGAACTTCTTACTGAGGGGACAGGGCAGCCTAGACCTGCGCTCCCTGCCCAGCCCCTGGCCCCCCAACCCCTGGCCTCCCAGCCCCTAGCCGCTCATATGTCCAACCAGCCATCCCCCAGCCCTTGTCCCTTTCTCCCACTGCCTGCCCACCCTTCCCCTCGGGCTACTACTCCCCCACATCCTCTCCTCCTGACCTCCAGGCTCCCATTCTCTCAGTCCCTCCCACCCCCTCAGCCTCCCATTGGCTGGTCTCTATCCCACTTTGTCCCCCAACCTCCCATATCCCCAGCCTCCTGCCTTCTGGCCTCCCAGTCTCCCACCTTCTGGCCTCCCAGTCTCCCCTCCACCCTAGCCTCCTGTCTCCCCTAAGCTCCCATCCCCTCCTCTTGTTCCTTTCCACTGCCCCCCAGTTTCCCCTTCTTTACCGAGGCCTCCCATTTTCCGCACCCTGCCTGTGGTGCCTCCTCCCAGACCTCTCTCCCCTCCCCCCACCTCCAGGCTGCCCTCCTGCCCACGCCCACCTGTCCTGGATCTCCTGGGCCAGCAGCTGCAGGCAGCGGGTGATGCGGGCCTGCTGCACCTCCTCATTGTCCTGCAGGGTCTTCTGCAGTCCCTGCAGGCCTTGGGCCAGGACCCCATACAGCTCCTGCCGGCCCTGCTCCCGGCCCCACTTGTGCAGCTCCTTCTGTGCCTGGCAGCCTGTGGGGCTTAGCACCTCTGCAGGCACAGAGGACTTTGACTGAGCCCTGACCTTACCCTGTGCTCAGCCTGATGGTAGTTTTTAACTTAGCTCGCCCTAATGCTGGCCTGACCCTGACCCTGAACCCAGATTGCCTCAACTTCTCTCACCCTGGCCTGACTTGGCTGACTCCAATAGGACGAGACTCTAGCCTGACCTTGACCCCTGGCTGGTCCTTACCTTCAAGCTGCTGAATCTTGATTTGCTGCAGGCAGCTCTCCTTCTCCAACATGGTCACTGAGTGGTTCAGGAACTCAAAAGCCTAGAGGGCAGAGGTCAGGCCTGGGGCTGGAAGTGGGATGAGGGTGTGGGGGTGGGAGGGAACTAGTGGGGCAGTGGCTGCTGGGGGGCGGTGCTGAGGTGGCTCACCTTGGTCTGGGCCTGGAGCTGGCTCTTGAGTGACTCCAGTTCAAACCGCAGTTGTTTCTGGGAGTCGGGAATCATCGTGGTGGACTTAGCTGTGGGCAGAGGTGAGGGTTAGCTGAGGCTGGGAGGGGTGGGGGCAGGGGCAAGGTCAGGGCAGAGGTCAACTAAGGCTCAGGATACCAGCAGGGGGCAAGGTAAGCGGCAGGGTTCCCTTGAGGTGGAGGAGGGGGTAGGGGTCAAAGTCAGGGGCAAGAATCAGCAGAGCCTGGGGCAGGGGTCAGTAGGTCTCACTGTTAGTGGCAGGGGTCAGTTGATACTGGGGTAGAAGGTGGGGGTAGGAGGAGGGTAGGTCTTCCCCACAGCCTTGTTGGGAGGGTGGGCTCTCACCTCTGACCTTGAAACTGTTGGTATCCAAGGACTTCTAGGGGAGAGGGACAAGTGGGGAGCGGTATTGGTCCCTGAGCTGCCTCCCTCCTCACCCCAACCCAGTCTGGGTGGTTGGACACAAGCTGCGTCTGCTGGGCTCTGGGTGTCCTGGGACACAGGTGCAGGCAAAGCTGCCTCCAGGCACATGCGTGCACCTCCGCTAGCCTGCACACACTGAAAAGTGCACCTGTGTGGCTCGTCCCAGACATGTGTGGGCCTGTGGGCTTTGAGCTGGGGCTCTGGCCCGATGCTGGTCCTGTCACTGTCTTGGGCTGAGGTAATGGCCCTCCTTCTTAGGGGCAACAACATCAACATCATCTGCAGTGGGAGTCAACAGCACCGAACATACAACCACACACAGTTGCCAAAACACACAGGGATACAACCACACAAGCTCAGCTGCAGCCACACACTCCAGCCTCAAGTCATCAAGAGCCACAGCGCCCACTTGCACACATTTCAGACACACAACCACAACCACACAGACCCCCCAGGCAAAGTCATTCCCAGAGACAAGCAGACAAAGCCCCATGAAAAACACACGATCATGCATTCATGCCCTCCATTCCTTCGTCCATTCATGTAGGGCCCTTTTAGTGAAGGCCTGCTGAGTGCCAGGCACTGTTGTAGGTGCTGGGGACATAGAGTGTGAGTGTTCTTGGTAAACCCCCCTCCCTAAGCCCCACATTGGCAGACTGTGGTGGCAACAAGGGGTTCCCTGGGTGGGGGTGACCTTGGTGAGGTGCTGGTGCCTCTTCAGAAGGTCCTGTTCATTACAGCTCTCCTTCATCAAGTCTGGGTTGGGGAAGAAGGGAGCCCCATGTGGCTGAAGCCCCGAGCCCCACCCAGGCCTCCAGTCTACACACATCCCTGTGTTCTCAGAAGCAGCTGGCCCCAAGGTCTCTGAATCTGAGGTCCCAGACCAATGAGTCGTACAGTCCAAGGTCTTGTCTGAGGAAGAGCCTGGGGGTGAGGGCTTCCCTCAGAGCCAGCCCAAAGTGCCCCTCACATCCTCAGCCCCTCTCAGCGCCAGGAGAGCCCCTCAACAAACCCCGGAACTTGTCACACTTCCTGTCAGTTGGCAAACACACGGTGGAGGGTGAGGGAGATGAGCAGTAGCAGGTCACAGTGTAGTCAGAGTCCCGGGGTAGGCCAGCCAGGAGAGGGTCACTGGAAGAAGGGGCGGGGGGGCTCATCTGAGACCAGCCCCCATGCACCGGCATCCCCAGACCCTCCTGACACCCCAGAGAGGCCTCAGCCCTGAACACATGGCCTCTTAGTCATTGTAGGAGCTGAAGCTGGAGGAAAGATGATTCCAACCCCAGGGGTCAGCTAGGGTCAGTGAGAAGGACACAGGAGACCCCAAGAAGGAAGTGAGGGCTCTAGGAGAGCCCCCTAAAAACACTTTAACATGGGGCCTTAAAGAAAGGGCTTTCCTGGCAGGAAACAGCACGTGCAAAGGCTTAGAGGTGTGCTGGTGAATTCAGGATGACTGGAGATAGTCAAGAGGAAACAGCAGTAGGTTAGCAGGGCAGCTTGAGCAAGGCATTGAAGGCCAGGCTGAGGAGTTTGGACTTGGCCTCGCAGGTAAATGACAGCCATGGAGTGTGAGCAGTAGGGGCAGAGCATATCTATTCAATAAATGTTAGCTGAATGGGGGCCCAGGCCTGTGCTGGAGAAGGCTGGGAACAGAAAATAACTCGGCTCTGGGTCTCACATCTGCACCTCTCCCCCTCCAGTGTAGTCAGGGCTGGCACACTTGGAGAAACCTGGAGCAAGTATGCCTGGAAAAACTTCCAGGCGAAGGGCACCTTGCCCTGGGTCATGCTCAGCCAGTTCACCAAACCCTCCAGACCTTTCTCTTCTGCCACTCTTGCTGGGCCCTCTGTCCTTTCCTTGGCCCAGTTTGCCTTGAAGACTCCTATACACCCTTCAAAGCCCCACTCAGCATCTCCTCTGAAAGGTCTTCTTTAATCCTTTTTTAAGCTCATATTTACTGAGCACCTGAGTGCTGGGGACCACCCTAAGCACTCACTGAGTCCTCAACCCACTCCATGATGTACAAGTTGTTCTTCTGCCTGAAATATTCTAGGCTTCCCTTCAGGAGTCCCTGACTCAGATAAGCCCTCATATCCAGAGGCAGTAGAGCACAATGGTTAAGCAAGGAAATTCTCCAGCCAGATGGCCTCGGTTCAAATTCTAGCTTTGTCTCAGTGTCCCCAACTATAAAAATGAGATATTATAGTATCCACCTTACTGGGTTGTTGTGATTAAGTAAATTAATCCATGCCAGTGTCTGGCATACAGTAGGTACTCAATCAGTGTTTGTCTTTGTATGTCACCTGAAAACCTGGGACCTGAAGGCCATGCGTGCCCTGGGAGGCTTGGAGAGGAAGGGGGCAGAGGCATTTCTGTGCGCCAACTGAAGGCAGGTCCCAGTTGTGCGATCCCCTCCCTCGTCAACCTCCTTCCACATCCAGCTGTTTCTTCAGCAATCCCTCCCGGGAGAATTCTTGGGAGAAGGGGTGGGGTCATTAGCTTGGGTCCCGCCCCTGGCAGTGAATCCTGCGCCCGCAGCTTCCGACCTGCTTCCACCCCCACCTACCACATACCACCTGTTCATGCTCTCCCGTCAGGGACCGCGAAACCGGTCCCTAGCTGTGACGATGAAATTTGATCCTGTGGGGACACCATCGTATTAAAACGTGCCTGGCTGAAGCAGGAGTCATAGAGAGGGGTGTGGCCGGCATTTTAGCCCCGCCTCCGCCGATGCAGCCTCATTGACGCCTTCCCACTTCCGCAGCTTTTAAGGGCCGCGGTGTAATTGGATAAGTGCCTGACCGGGGGGCGGGACCCCAGGCTAATTTCTGCTAACCGATTAGTCAATATCTAAGAGGGCGGTACGGGGATGGGGGGGGGGATGGTGGGCCGCAGATCTACGATTCGATTGGCATCGAGCTCAGCTGGGAGGCGGGACGAGTTCTTGGTTGGGGGGAATCCACGAGGGGAGGTAGCGGAGGAGGTCAGCAGTCCACTGGGGTGGAGCGAGTCAGGGAGTGAGGTACCAAGTGCGGCCCGCCTGGCCCCCAAGAACCAGTCTCGGCACCTCTGGCCTCGGACTCTGGTGCTGCGGGTTGAGGTTCACAACGGTGGGGTTGGTGTTCTCGGGATGAGCTTTGAGGGTTTCCAGGATTAGCTGGGATCTCCGGGGGTGATTTGGGGATTCCATGATCTCTGGCTGGGATCCTGTTATGAGAGCAGGGTCTTTGGTGTTAGAAGTGCGATCCTTGTGATATTTGGGGGCCACCAGGGTAATCTCTGAAGACCTTGGGCCGCTAGCTTGAGCTCCTGGGGCAGCACTTTGGGGCCTTGGAGGTAGCATGGATGTTGGGTTCCAGAGGGCCTGGGATCTTGAGCTCCGGCATTTGGAGAAATGGGGTCGGGGGTTGTCGCAGGACTCCTGGAACTTCCTCCCAGCCCCCATTCCTGGGTCTCTGCATCAGCAATGACCCTGACGCTGAGCAAGCTTACAGAGTCTGAAGGCCCTGGGTAAAGCTCTGAGTTACCCTGTGCCTCCTCTCTAGGCTGCAAGATGGAGGAAGGCAGGGACCTGGGAGCCCTGACTAAGGTGGTCCATCTACTGGTCTTGTCAGGGGCCTGGGGCATGCAGATGTGGGTGACCTTCGTCTCAGGTAGGGACCCTCACTCAACCTAAATGTTGTGGGTACCCCGGGTGGTGACAAAAGTGGGAGGGGGACCTGGGGGTGTTCTAACAGGCGTGTGGCCCCCTGCACCTGCAGGCTTCCTGCTTTTCCGAGGCCTTCCCAGACATACCTTTGGCCTCGTACAGAGCAAACTCTTCCCTTTATACTTTCACATCTCCATGGGCTGTGCCTTCATCAACCTCTGGATCTTGGCTACACAGCATACCTGGGCTCAGCTCACATTCTGGGAGGCCAGCCAGGTACGTGGGCCGGGGCACTACTACTCTCTGGAGACTCATTCCCAGGACCCCGGTGAACATCAATGACTGCACATTTGCATGAATTAAAAAAAAAAAAAAAAGTGCCCCTTCTACCTGGTGGATGCAAAACTGGGCTCTGGGCACCTTTTAGCGGTGCACAGGCTATACGACCATCCCCAGCAACCCTACGTTTCCACCAGTGTCTCTTCACTGTCTGCTGCTCTCTCTCCTTTCCCTGGGCCTCCTGCCAAGCTGCAGTGACTCAGCTGGGCTAGGGCACTGACCCTAGCTTATTGTTTAAAAACTAGCCTAACTGGGAATTTGTGGTCCCCCACCCCCATTCACACATTTCCCCAGCCACAAGGCAAGGACCCGTGTCTGCATCTCGTATTTCTCTACCCTGCCCTCCCCCTGCCCCCATTATATTCCTCAGATGTGGGCAGGTGAGGCCTGACAGGTGTTTCAAGAATAATCTCACAGAGACAGGAGAGGATTATGGGTAACTGGAACCTCACGGGCTTTTTATTCACTCTCTGTGGGCCCAGTGTCAGCTTTTGGGATCTGGGCTGGGGCCACAGAGGAAACAGGCCTCTTGTTTTGGGAAAACAGAGGGGGCAGTTATATGGTGCTCTAGCCCAATTTTGGGGAGAGGAGTTCTGCCCTTAGATGCCCTCAGTTTTGGGGAACAGGAGGAGAGGAGACAAGGCTCTGCTCTGAGACTTCCAGTCTGAGGATCAGAGGAGACTGGGGCCCAGAAGGTTTTGGGGGAAAGAGAGGAGACAGAAATGGAGCCTTTCCTTAGGGGCTGCCAGTTTCAGTGGATGAAAGCTGGAGCTCTGCCCTTGGGGCCCCCAGTCTGGGGTCAAGGAAGGAGGGAAACGCCTGATTTTTACACAGTGCTGCCCCCATTCCCCTCTGGGCTATGAGGATGCAGAAGGGCCCTCACTAGGGCCCCTCCTGCCTCCCAGGGATGGCTCACCTTGTCCATCTTTCGCTGCCCCCGCCAGCTCTGCCTGCGGCTCCTGTGCCTCACGCTGGCGGCCATCAACGCCCGATTGCTTGGGCCACGAACCACAGCTGCCATGTGGGCCCTGCAGACCCTGGAGAAGGAGCGGGGCCTGGGCGGGGAGGTGCCAGGCAGCCGCCAGGGCCCCGACCCCTACGGCCAGCTGCGGGAGCGGGACCCCAAGTACAGTGCCCTCCGCCAGGTCTTCTTCCGCTACCATGGCCTCTCCTCCATTTGCAATCTGGGCTGCCTCCTAAGCAACGGGCTCTGCCTCGCCGGCCTCGCCCTGAACCTCAGCCGCCTCTAGCTCCTGATGCCTCTTTCCTGCCTGGGGCCCTGCATTTCAATAAAGGCTTCCTTGGAAATGGCTGCTGTTGTCTTTGGCCTGAGAAACAGGGAGAGAAGGGGCGGGGGCAGAGCTGAGAGCCTCAGTTTCGCCATTCGCGCGTGGCACAGTGATATGGAGCGTTAGCGGCCCCTAAACCCCTCCTGTAATGGTGCCCACTGACTGGCCACCTGCTGTGTGTCTGATATGGCGCTAAGCACTGCACATTTTTCTGATGGCTGGTTCTGATCCTGGGGACAATCATGTTTCCTACCACATTGACATTGGGGATGGCTGTGTGACTTGCTTTGGCCAATCAAATGCGGGCAGATGCGCCACTTCCAGGCAGAAGCGTTAACAGCCCGTGTGTGATTCACCACATTTTCCCTTCACCATGGCAACCAGTGTGGGTGAGAAGCAAACCTTGGCTATTGGGTGCCATGGAGACTGGGGTCACCTGTTAGTGTAGCATAACCCAGCTTCCCTGACTGATGCCCTTCCTCTCAATTCATCCACATGGCAGCCCTTGGTGACAGCTGCTGTTGTTCCTGTGAGGCAGCGGGGGGGGGGTGTGGGGGCTCAGAGACGTGCAGCAAGCTGCCTAAGGTGGGGCTGAGAGTTGAGCACAGGCAAAGCCTGCACTGTTGTAGCTTTGGACCCTCTCCTGCTGGCTTGAAGACAGCTCGGGCCTCAGCTGGCCCTGGATGCCAAATCTCCTTACTGTGTGGCCTCAGGCAGGGAGCTGCACTTCTCTGAACCTTGGTTCCTTATCCATAAAACCAAAAACCAAGCTCATTGCCTTCAAGTCCATTCTGACTCATAGCGACCCTATAGGACAGAGTAGGACTGCCGCATAGGGTTTCCAAGGCTGTAATCGTAACAGAAGCAGGTCTTCAGGTCTTGTCTCTTGAAGAGTGCAGAGCAGCTGGTGAGTTCAAACTGTTGACCTTTGACCTTTTGGTTAGCAGCAGAGCACTTAACCACTGCACCACCAGGTCTCCTTTTATTCATAAACCAAAAGCCCAACTAAACCCACTGCCATTAAGTCGATTCCAGCCCATAGCAACCCTATAGGACAGAGTAGAACCGCTCCATAAGATTTCCAAGGCTGTAAATCTTTATAGCAGCAGATTGCCACATCTTTCTCCCTCGGAGCGGCTGGTGGGTTTGAACTGCCAGCCTTTTGGTTAGCAGCCGAGCGCTTAACCACTGCACCACCAGGGCTTAATTCCAAGGGCCCTTGAGAGCATTTAGCAAACGGGTCCAGCCCTACTTTAGGGTCAGATGCTGCACTTTACAAACACTAACTCCGATCAGAACCTTTACAGAACCCTGTGAGGTGGGTACTACTATTACCTGCCACTTGACAGTTGAGGAAACTGAGGTTCAGAGAGGTTAAGTGTCATGTCCAAAGTCACAGGGCTACAAAATGGTGGAGGTAGGATTTGAACTCGGCTCCAGAGTCCGCGCTTTTAACGGCTAGGCACATAGTAGAAACTCTACATACAGTTACAAACTACAAAAAAACCCTGTTGCCGTGGAGTCGATTCCGACTCATAGCGACCCTATAGGACAGAGTAGAACTGCCCTATGGGGCTTCCACGGAGCGGCTGGTGGATTCGAATTGCCTACGTTTTGGTTAGCAGCCAAACGCTTAACCACTGCGCCACTAAAAGTAAAACGTTTATTTCTGGGGAACGCTAGACACCTGTTGCAATTTCCAGCCCCGCCCACCTGCTTTCTACAAGCCCCGCCCGAGACTCCGCCCAGCCCTCCCCGAGGAGCGGCCCCTCCTCCCTGGCCTGGGCGGAGCCCTTGCGGGATCCGGGTAGCTGCGGACAGCGGCGGCGGAGTCTGCGGGACCCAGATCGCGGGCGAAGTCGCAGCGAGTTTGGAGGCGGAGTCCCGGAGAGCAGCGACCCCTACGCGAGGTGATCCCTCTTGGAGGGAGAGGCCCCACGTCACACCTCGGCGTCCCAGGAGGTCCGGGGACGGGGGCTTAGGGGAAGGGCGGGGGGCCTGGGGAACAAAGGCGGGGCGGCCGGGGACGCCTCTTCCCTCGCCCCCACCCAGCTGGACTCCTGGGGCGAGTTAACGGGGCGCGGGCGAGGCAGAGAGCCCAGCTGGGGTTAGGAGATGGGACCATATGGTGATGGGGGGAAGCTTCTGAGCCTCCCTCCACCGGCTGGGACACCCCAAATACAGTAAAGAGGACCGGGCCGAGCCCTCTGGGGACCCTTACCTAGTGCTAGGCCTAGGGAGATAGTCGGCAAATGGTCAGAAAGAGGTGGGACGGACGGAGGTGGGCTGGGGCTGGGGTGGGGGCCCTAGCCTGGCGGCCCTGCCCAGCATGGGGAAAGATTTCCTGCCTCTTCTCTTCCCCTCCTCAAACTCGTTCTCCCGGAACACGGGGTGGGGCGAGGGCTGGGCAGGAAAGGGGGGCTGACTGGGTCCTCGTTTAAAATGGTAAAAAGCCCCAAAGGTGGTTGGGAAATAGATTTGCCAGGGCTGTCTCTGCCTGTCTGTCCTCCATTCACACACGCCTTCTGGAACCTCTTTGTGCACGGGAAGCAGCTCTAGACAGAAGGGGAAACTGAGGCCTAGGCGGGGATGTGGGCAGCTGCAAGTTTGCCAGCCTAGCCCAGGAGACAGATTGCCAGGAAAGGACCCAGGATGGGGTGGGGGTTGAGGGGTGTTATGTGATTATTAGGTGCCTGGGATGGTTTCCCTGGGATTCGAGGACTCACTCTGGCCTCCGTGGGCTGGGGCTAGGGTGAGTCAGCCCTACCCGGAGGGAGACGGGACCGGCCCCTTTGACAAACAGAAAATGGCAGTGCCCTTGAGAGTAGAGCCTGGGCTTTAAACCTGGTATGGATCCACTGTACCCACTCCCCAGGCATCAGGGCAAGGGTTAAACTCGGCTTGAGTGGGGGCAGGGCAGGCACCCTGTGGCTGACACCTGCCAAGTCAACACCCTGGCCTGGGGGGGCCTCCATCCAGCTGGCAGGTCCCCCCCAACTCACACCTGGGCCATGAGCAGCTGCTCACCCTGGGGCAAAGTCCACAGTTGCACCTTCTGCAGAGCCTGGTTCCCCTGTGGCCAGAGGACGTACCCATGCCCCCTCGTCCCCTCCACCTGAGCACCTGCATTCAAACCCTGGTTCTGCCCTTCCCTTGCCAGGTGCCAGCTTTCTTGTCTCTGGGCCTCAATTTTCCCCCTGTAACAAAGGCCGGACTTTACTGGGAGGGTGTGAAGATTAAACATCAGTCGTCTTTACTGAGTACCTACTATATACCAGGCACTGTCTTATGACCATTGTGTATTTTAAGAACCTCCCACTGGGATGTGGCCACCCCAAGGCTGGACTTCTTCCTGTCTTATTTGAAGCACAAGGAACAGGACCTGGCACGGAGTAGGCACTCAGTAAGTGCTGAGTGAATAAAGAAACTCATTCTGTGCTCATAACCAATTACCCTTTTCAGGCAAGGACTGCCGTAAAACATCCTCATTTTCCAGATGAGGACAGTGAAGTACGCAGAGATCAAGGGATGTGTCCAGGGTCACCTGGCCTCCAAGTGGCAGAGGTAGGATTTGAACGCAGGCCTGGTGTATACATTGGAGCAATTATTGGTGTTTTATTCTCCTGCAGAGCACCAGCCCTCCCAATCTGAGGTGTTAAGGCGTCCCCCCAGAAGGCTCCCCACCAAGATGGCATCAGCTGGAGAGCCCCCCACAGGCCAGCGGGATGCAGCCGACCAGAACTTCGACTACATGTTCAAGCTGCTGCTGATCGGCAATAGCAGTGTGGGCAAAACGTCCTTCCTGTTCCGCTACGCTGATGACTCTTTCACACCTGCCTTCGTCAGCACTGTGGGCATTGACTTCAAGGTCAAGACAGTCTACCGCCACGACAAGAGGATCAAGCTGCAGATCTGGGTGGGCTGGGGGCTGCTGTCCATGGGGTCTGTGGCGAGGGGTGAGGTGCCTCCAGGGAAGTCCATCCCAGGGTCTAGGGCTCTGGGGAGTGTTCTGAGGTGAGGGAGAGTGGCCCAGAGCCACCCCCTGACCCCCGGCTGCTGCTAATGTTTGTCATGGTAACACAAGCTCCAGGGTGTTCACGTCAAGATGGCACCCCCTGACCCAGGTGGCTCTTGTTTGTGGGGGTCATTAAGTTGGTTCTTGGCTTACAAATCTGTGAGAGGCAATTGACCCCTTAGACTGAGTACCCCTCAAGGTCAGGGCTGTATCTCCCCCATCAGATGGGGATCCGTTCCCTTGAGAATGAGTCCATGCCTCCACCATCAGACTGGAGGCTATGGGCACAGGGCGGTGCCCCCTTCGGGGCCCTTTAGGGGTGGGATGGGGAGTAGGGTGGATTCTAGCCACCTGACACTGCTGTCTGCCCAGGACACAGCCGGCCAGGAGCGCTACCGCACGATCACCACAGCCTACTACCGCGGAGCCATGGGTTTCCTGCTCATGTATGATGTCGCCAACCAGGAGTCATTTGCCGCTGTGCAGGACTGGTGAGTGCTTGCTCCCACTGACCCCTGACTTTTGCCCTCTGCCCGCCTGAGCCCTCGCTCATGGCCCCCAAACTCCACAGGGCCACACAGATCAAGACTTACTCCTGGGACAACGCCCAGGTTATCCTCGTGGGGAACAAGTGTGACCTGGAGGATGAGCGCGTCGTGCCCACCGAGGATGGCCGGAGGCTTGCTGATGACCTTGGTTAGTGCTCTGCTTGGGCCACAGGCCCCGGGTCTGCTGGAATCAAACTGCCATCCCCACCCTCAGGTCCCAGGTTCAACCACAGTTGCCAGCCCTTTGGGAGCCTGCCCAGAAAAATACCCATGTGTATGCCACCTTCTCCATTTAATGTTAGGGGAGTCACTCACAGAGTCCCCCAACCCCACCCCTACTGCCCATGCCCTGGGAACCCAGACTCAGCAAAGCCATTTCTGGGAATTTATCCTACAAGC